AGCCGATCTTCCGCGCTTCCGAGCGCCAGCCGGGCGCGAGCTTCCAGGCGTCCCATTCGTCGTTCAGGACGACGCCGACGCCCCACGACGTGGAGGCGTCTACCCAGAAGTCACACTCGGTGATCTCTGGTGGGCGCTGCAGCGAACTCCCGCAGGGGCCCGCCTTCAGGGTGGTCCTCCAGAATTCGATGTCGCCTAGGACTTGGCTGTTCGGCGTCCGCCGCGAGAAGGCCGAGGCGGCCAGTGGGAATGAGGACGAGAACTTTGATATGGCTACGAGTTTAGAGCGCCCGTCCGGAATGGCCAGGCTGCAATGGACGAGGGTCCCCATGACCCGCTCGGCTTCGCGCTGTGTGAAGGTGCTTCCGGCGACCCACGGATCGAGCTTGATGACGTATCGAGCCCGTTTGTCTTCGGGGACCGAGACCCATTTGCGCTCGAGGTCCCAGTCGAAGCCTAGGTAGCGGAAGGTCGGCGCGAAATCCTTGGTCTTCGACGGCTTCCACGGCCAGCCCAGCCGCTCTGCCAGCCGGTGTACCTCAACTAAGCTATATGCGAATTCCGGAGGTCGGCCTTCGCTCGCGCGGATGGGGTAGCGGACGAATGCGAAGTCGTCTACCCACTTCTTGAGGGCATCGACACCGGTTTTCAAATATACTGCTGCCATGCAGTCAGCGACCCTGCCCCATACCCCTGGAGAACTTGCCGGTCCGAAGGGCGCGCACGAGTCGATCCAGAATTGATCTCGCCACTGGACCACGAAGTGTGGTTGCTGGTCCGGGCGGATGGGGATGCAGTGAAAGGCGGAATCAACGTCAAGTGTGGCCACCTGCGTGCCCGGCGGGGCATCCATGACGAGAACTGCCATCTCCGAAAAGGTGCCCCACTCGCATGGGAACGAGTCGGAGTCGATAGCGGTGTTCACCGATGCGATGGCGGGATCGTTGCGTGGGTACGAGAAATCTTGTATCATCCGCAATTCGGCGGTCCCGGCCTTTGGTACCGCGCCTAAGGGGGAGGTACGGAATGGGCCGATGAGCGTCTCGAGCCTCTCGCAGTCGAAGGGGCCTGTGTAGCGACGAGCTGCGCGTTCTTTGTGAATATACGAGTCGATTGCTTCCGCATTCGACAGTGAGGATTTATGATTAGGTGGCGTGTAAGTGATGTGTACAGGGGACGGAATGCCCATATCGAATCCGATCCGCATGCCTAAGGGGACGTCCGAGAAGGTATCTAACAAACCGAGCGAGTCAAGCAGCGACTCCCATTCATTTGGTTTGAACGGGGTCGTCACGGCTAGTGCTAGCGATGAAACAGAGGCTTGCAGAGTGGGCGTCTCTGCAGAGGGTGCAGCGGTGCTCTCCGTGTGCGCAGGTGCCTGTGGCCGAGCAGCCCCTCTGCATGTTAAAGTGGAAGCAGTACCTCTTACCGGACTTGTCGGCGTAGCCCCCGTCTTGCGTCCTCGCGATGAACATGGGACTCCCGTTGGCAAGAGTCTTCGCGAAGCACTCCTTCGTGCGGTGGGAGAAGCGTCCGCAGAGAAAGCAGCTCCGAAAGGAACTGCCGTTCTGGTCGGAAACTCGGTGTCTTGTCGAGACCGGGTTCCGCGATCCCCGTGAGGCCGACGATGCTCCTGCGGGCTCCCGCCTGCGGTTGGCCAGCGCGAGCTGGGCCTGTTGCGGTTGCGGCTGGAGTACTCGCCTCCCGAGGTGAGCGATATAGAGGTCGTCCCAGATCGCGCGATGGTGTTCGCGTGGAAGCGAATGTTCTCGTGATGGGTGTGCCAGTCCAGGTATTCGTGAGGGAGGTACTCTTCGAACAACTGGAGGTAACGTTGCCACGCTTGGAGCCACTCGGCGAACGAAAGCTGCATCTTGCCTTCCGGCGAGAGCGGTTGCTGGACTGGGACTAGGCCCCCGGATTCTATCTGCCACAGATTCGCCAGGTTCGCGTTCGTGTCGATGCCTTGAGCCATGCAGGCGGCGTCCGTGAGGTGTTGCAGCGGTACGTGCCTCCTGTGTCCCCTCTCAAAGATGTCGCAAATCTGCTGAGGGATGACGTAGAAGTTGACGTCTGCTACGACCCCGGCGACGCGTGCCGGACAGCCTCGCGATGATAACGGGGTCGGGGATGCGTGTACAGTCGGGAACTCGTCGACGTGACGGGCCTGTTGACGGGGGGCCGCCCTGGGTGCCGTGGACGAAAGACGTGGGTGTCGTGCGGCCCCGCGCCCTGGGCGGGGATGGTCGCCCGGGTCCTCCAGCTCATCCGGCTCCGGGCTAGGCGACTCCGACCCGAATTCGCGGTTGGTGCTCGGACGCCCTAGGTTTTCTGTGAGTCCACAGGACCGGTAGCAGGTGTGTGCCAAGGAAGGGGCTAGCAAGAATGTATGGCTCGAGCCGTAGCAAGAATATGGAGGCGTGTAGCAAGACGCGAGCAAGGTGATAATTTACATCTGGCGAGGAGGCCGGGAAAGCAAGGAAGGAGGCATGTTAAAGAACTCAGTGAGGTGTATTGCTCACCCGATGATGTCGGGGGAGGGAGCGGTTGTGTCTCTGCCCGCGCCCGCGCCGGCCGAAGTGATTCTCTCCCCCTGCTCTCCGAGCGTGTCTGCAGCCTTTGCGAGCTCGTACGTTCACTAGGAGTCCGCGAGTGAGAGCGCGTGGACACGGACGGGAGGCTTTGCTCTTGGGTGTCGGCTAAGCCTTGCCATTCCGAGTCCTCGTCTTCTGTGTCCTGGACGCGACCTTGGAGGTATTCGTTCTTCTCCCTGTCTGTGTAAAGGGCGGTGAACGACGGGTGGTCGATGAGTTCGTCCTTGCGGTCGAGCAAGGCTTGCTTCGTCCGTGCCTTGAGGTCGTGGACGTTCCCTCCGGGGTCGACGCCGAGGGCTTCCGCCAGTTCGACCAGCGCTGCCCGGTTGAGCCGATAGTGGGGTTTGTTGAAGGGGTTGTCCCGCGGGGCCCACGGAGGCATGTCTCAGATGGCTAGTGTCGAGTCGATAATACGCTGAAGCTACTACTCGCTGTCTCTAGCTGCTAGTGGGTTCTGAGGGAGAGAGGCGCGACACGCGTCGGAGTTTCAAAGTTCCTCCCTCGAGCCCAAGACGGCGCACCGAGCTTCGCTCGGTGCTCGCTCTCTCACCGACGCCTGCGGCCTGTGTACAGTGTCCACCCCCTTTCCTTTGCACAACATGGCAAACGACAACTTGACGAGCCAACGACTTGAAGGAATGTGCTGGGTATCATGCAGCGGGTTTGCGTTCGGCATCGCGACCCACCGAGCTACGGTAGAAACCTGCGGATATCATCGTGTCCTTGTTGACTTTTTGGCGTGTGTTTCGCATCACGCACAGTCCCGATCAACAAGGCGCGTTCTTGCTTGCACTGTGCAACTCGCCGCCTGCCTGGCAGATTGCAATTATGATTCCTGCCCGACATCGCCGTGGAATGGTCCCTCGAGCGTGGGTGTCCACCCACCAACTCCGGCTTGCCGCCGACTCCGGGTCGTTATTCCGGACCGCACGCGCCTCGTTCTCTCGATATCCGCAGTCCCATCTGGCGCTATCCTTGGCTTCTCTCGTTCCCTTCGAATGCTCCAACTTGGATCATCCTCAAGCGCGCAGCTTCTACTTGCGGCGACAGCGCGATTGTGGCCTCGTACGGAATGATGTCCGTGACGTGATCAGAAACACTTTTACGCCACGCATGCTCGATTGGCCAGCCCTGCCAATGTTACTGAGTCTAGAATGATTGCCACTGCTGCGCAGAAGCAGTTAACAGAGCGCCCCGTTCTTTCAGTCGGGATCGTGTCGTCGGGTCGGGACTCATTTGCCCGCATTCCTATTGGCGCATAACGCGATGATATGTCCGAGGGAACATCTACCCCGCCATGGGAAGCGTAGCGGCGGGACCCCACTCATCCTATCATCAAACGCAGACGGTTGCTGCGCGGGAGTGTTATGTACACCTGCAAGCGCTCTTTCTCTCACACGCCTGCCTGTGGCATCTCGACACACGCCTCGGTGGGGAGTTGTTGCAGGAGAACGCACAGCTTCACTGACACGCTATCCTCATCTAGAGTGCCAATCCCTGTCGACATTTACTTGCAGGCCCGTACGGTCGGGTCTACATACTTTGATGCCAGAGTACCACGGAAGCGGTAAAAGTCCAGCGAGCGCCTTGCGCATCGGGATTCCATGAGGGGCCTGGGATCTCCGACAACTTGTTTGACAAGAAGCACCCTGGGTGAGAAGCATCCTCATCGGGTAACGAGTGTATTCCGCGTACTCACCCGCGCCTCCCAGGTCCATTTCTGGCCCGCTGTATGGATTGCGATTCGCCTTCCACATGACAAAAGTAGGCTGCGCTTTTCCCTTCACCTGCCATCGAGCGTGAATGTCGCACCGCTTGCCCACCCTTCCGCAGTTCTCGATTTTATTTGAATTCAGGTATTAAAGCCTCCTGGGACACGCTCTCTCAGGTTCAGACCTGTCCTCCTTCTATACGGTCCTTTGGCGTTGCCAAGCATCCTATACCCCTCCTCCTCCCGACCAACTACTACCGTTCCAAGTTGGGATAATGTTCAACGCCGGATTTGCCCTCGCCACCCTCGCGGCTGTCGCCATCGCGAGCCCCAACCCTCAATACGGCTACGGCCCTCCGTCCGGTGGCTCCGGCTCTGGTTCCAGCTCCAGCTCGTCTTCGTCTGCTGCTGCCGCTGTCCCTACTGCACCTGCTAGCACCTCCGGTCACGTCAACGTGCGTTCACTCACCGTCCGATGTTCCTGAGTCCTCGTCTCATACGATACGATAGATCCAAGTCGGCGCCAACCAGAAGTTCGTGTTCAGCCCGAGCAACGTCACTGCCCCTGTCGGTACCTTGGTTACTTTCTTCTTCCCGTACGTGTACCGCTTGTGACGGATTTCCTTTGACGGTTCTGACTTTGTACCTAGGAGTGCTATTGCGCACTCGGTGACCCAGAGCTCCTTCGACGCGCCGTGCACTCACCTCGCGTCCAACGGTAGCAGCCCGGCCGGTTTCGACTCCGGTCTCCAGCAGGGCACCCAGTTCACCATCAACATCACCGACGCTAGCGTCCGTGAGTATAACTTCCCCACTTGCCACATTTTGCGATTCATGGATTCACACTCTCGCGTTCACCAGCGATCTACTTCCACTGCAAGGCGCCCACGCACTGCGGTCTCGGCATGGTTGGCTCCATCAACGCGCCCACGACCGGGGACCAGACCTTCCAGGCCTTCCAGGCCGCCGCCGTCAAGATCGGCAGCAGCGAAAAGACTGTCAGTGCCCCGTCTCTGTTCTCCTCTCCTCCAGCTCTCAGCTGATCCTTTCATCCTCGCCTCTCAGGAATCCGACACTGGCTTTGCCTCGGGTGGTGTCGGGGCCGTCGCCACCGCGTCCGCCGCCGATACCGCCACCGCCTCGGCCTCGGCCAGCTCGAGCTCGGGCTCCACCAAGAAGAGCGGGGCGGTCGGCCTCGTCGCGAGCGGTCTCACCGCCGCCGCCGGTGCCGTCCTCGGCGCTGTTCTCCTCATTTAAGAGGTTATCGACGCTACAGGCCCTGGGGGTTGAGCGATGGGTTCCGCTTCTCTTTTTTTTATTAGCACGTTTATACTCCATACGCCCATACACATCATTTCATGCATGTGTAATGTTCCGCCCTTGTGAATAGATGACACCCATGATTTTGGGATGACCTACAACGATACGATGGATGGACTTCACAATGTTTGGTTTCGGATCAGGAACGCATACCGTGTATTCCAGTGCGCAGTTCCGTTGTTTTTCTGCTCTGTATCTGACTGCGTAGGCGCATGGGCGGACATGAACTCCAGTGCAAGCGGAAGCTTATGATACTTGTTGGAACAGAAAAGTGATGTACGGGAACTTATTTCCCGTTCCAATTAATCCTGTTGGTACAGACTACTGTTGTACAATTGCGCTACTACATGAACCTTCCAATATAGCGATGCGTTAAGAAGAAAAAAAAGTCGTGAGAGGGTTCGTCACAAACATCGAGCACCGCACGCAAACCAAGGGAACGGATTCCGAACCGTCTAGATTTTCTTTGACTCTTCGGTGTTTTCACCTTCGATCAAGCCTCGTCCGACGTCCGCTTCTCGTCGCGCGGGTATCCCTTCAACGAGCTCACGGCCGAATCCGTCGCCTCCGAACCCTTCAACCCCGCCTCGGCGGCGCGCACCGCGCCGGCCAGATCGAGGTGGAAGAACGGCGTGTCCGCCGGCACGATGCTCTCGAACGAGCCGACGGCCGCTTCCGACACCTCGACCGCGTGGAACTTGGGCTGCCGGCGGTGGTGGTGGGCGCCCGCGCCGCTCTCGAGGTCGAGGTCATCGATCCGTGCGTCTTCCTCGCGGCGGCGCGCGGTCTCGTCGCGGTGCCCCTCGCGGTACGGCACGACGGCGGCGATCTCGTGTCCGACGGCGGAACCCGCACCGGCGCCGAAGCCGCCCGCGATCAGTGCGCGGCGGATCCACGGAGACAGGATGGTCGCAAAGTGGAACTACGAGGAAGGAAAGAAGAAAAGAAAGTCAAGTCAGCTTCCACGAGAAAAAGGAGGAGGACGCCGTGGCCGCTTACCTCGACAGGACGGTCCGCCCACCGCTCGACTTCGGTGCGGGTGTCGACGAGCGCCTGCACGCCCGTCGTGTCGATGTTGGACACGCCCGAAAAGTCGAGCACGACGGCGTGCAACAGCGGCTTATTCGCCCGCACGCGCCTTGCCTCCTCCGCGTCCTCCTCGGACGTGCCGCGGCGCGGGCCCGGGTCGTTCCACGGGCGGTCGCTGAGGCTGACGGCGGCGATATCCCGGCCCCTGCGCGTGTGCTCCTTCGCGTAGTCGACGATCGCGCTGTTGACGAGGGACGAGTTCGGGTAGAGGAAGCTCTCCTCGAACCGGTAGACGATGATGCCCGGCGAGGGCGGGTCGACCTTGACGTGCGGGTTCAGCACGCCGTTCTCCGTCTGGAGCGGGACGTAGACGTCGCGCGCCTCGGCATCGCCGCTCGGCTCCGGGCGCACGCGGACCTTGCCGAGGAAGTATCCGCGCGGGCGGGCGATGCGGACGAGGAGGAGAGCGAGCGAGGCGCAGATGGAGGTGTAGATGCCGTTCTCGATCGTGGAAAAGACGGTGACGAGGACGGCGGCGAGCCAGATGACGAACTCGAGCGGGGAGACGCGCCAGTAGTTGTACACCTGCGGCGGGGAAGCAACAAGGTCGGCGACGGCGTGGATGATGACGGCGGACAGACCCGCGGTCGGGATCCAGAAGAAGGCGGGGGTGAGGCCGTAGAGCGCGACGATAACGACGAGCGCGGTGACGATGCCCGCGAGCGGCGTGCGCACGCCCGACTTGGACTTGAGCGCGGAACGCGAGAAGGAGCCGGTGGCCGGGTAGGCGCCGAAGCAGGTGCCGACGGTGTTCGTGACGCCAATGGCGATGAGCTCCTGGTTGGGGTTGATCTTGTAGTTGTTGACGCGACCGAACGACTTGGAGATGGCGATGTGCTCGAGGAGGAGGATGATCGTCGCGACGGGGAGCTCGCCCGCGAGGGCGGAGACGAGAGCTGGGTCGATGTTCGGCTGGCCGACGTGGCGGAAGCCGGAGGGGACAGTCTTCAGGATCTTGATTGGGTACTTGCCGGACGCGCTCTTGCGATGGCGGCAGTAGAGCCAGGACGCAATCGTGAGGACGAGCACGACGAAAGCGTTACGGAAGACCGAAATGAAGAAGAAGACGCGGGCGCGGCGAGGGTAGCGCTTCGTCAGGAGATCGCAGGTGATGCGAATAAGGTACAACGAGACGAGCCCAGTGAGCCCAAACGCGGCGTCCATCTTCGTTCGCGGGAGCCCCTTGAGGGAGTTGATGATGACCTTGTAGGTTGCGGCGCGAGTGTCGAAACCGGTGATGCCCATGAGACCGGGGACTTGGCCAGAAACGATGTTAATCGCGGAACCGGTCATGAAACCGGAGACGGCAGGTGCGGGAATGAACTCGACGATCCAACCAAGGCGTAGCAGACCGATGCCGAGAACGATGAAGCCACAGATGAAGGCAACAGTGGTGGCAATCTGAGGGCCATCCCATCTGTCTCCGTGGGCATCCTGGACGTTTTCTAGAGGAGAATCAGAATGAGTAACAGCCTCGCTTGTTGGAAAATACGGCAACACGTACTGATGATGTGCGAAACCGTCAAACTCATGACGGCTACCGGACCGATAGAGACATCCTTGGAGGTGGCGAACAACTAAGAACGACATCAGACGTGTTGAACGTTCTCGAAGCAATATAGACTTACGCAGTAGACGAAGACGCCGACGAAGGCGCTGTAAAGACCATATTGAGAGGGAAGCGTTGCGATCTGTTGCGGAAGGTCAGCCTCTCGTCCCTACCCGATTAGGAAGTGCACTTGCCTGCGCGTACGACATGGACTGGGGCACGACCACCATGCCGACCGTGAAGCCGGCAATGAGATCACCGGTGGCCCATCCCAAGTCTGCCAGTACGTGAGTCGGCCATGGAGTATGCGGGAGTGTCGAGTAACTCACTGTAGCGCGTTATCCATCCGAAGATAGGGAAGAGACTGCGGAAGTAATTGATGACCTGGCAAAGTCTACTGGGTCGGTTGGAAAGTCGACGGCATGGAAAGGATGGCTTACGTCGCGCTTCGGATCGTCAGAAAGGCCCCGGATCCAGTCGCGGACGGAGACGACGGGAGGCGGGTCGTCCGGTGCGTGGACGACCCGTTTGCCCAGCTTCTTCGCGGTGTCCTTCGCAGAGGAAGGCATTGCACTTAATTGCAAAGGCGCGGAGTGGGAGTCGAGGTTCTCGAGCTCGGAGATAGCCCGGATACCAAGTCCTGGTCTTTATACCGTCCGGAAGGAGGGGGGACGGACTAGCGGGTGCAGTTGGGCACGGTTCGCCAGAGTCAGGGCGGATTTCGTGCTCGTCGGCGCTGGGGTTAGCACGCAACGGTGGGGCGATGGTCGGTGGGAGCACAACAGACTAAAGCGAGCAAGACGCAGGCACGGTTACCCCGCCCTATATCGCGATCGCACACGCCCACTCATTCTTGTCGCAACTTTTTGGCGGAGGCGCAATGGCATGGGCGTAGCACGCCATCGTAGACGAGGTTGACGCGACGGTGGCGGGAGCACACCGATTTGCCAGTTCGTCGCTGACAAAGCTTCGCGGGGCTCGAACTCCCCACGGTCGGGGCGTCAATCTCGCAAGTTCGAGTGGAGGAGGATGGACCGCAAGCGCACTTGCGAAAACGATAACTTATAATAGTCCTTATTCGTCCAGTAAGTAGCCACTTCTGCTGAGGTTACCCGACGACAAGACGAGTAAAGTCCTGGATACTGCACGATGTCCCGCACCGGACGTCATTCTACGCAGCGTTGGCACGGTCCCCCCGAAGTACATATCCTGAACGCTCATCCGCCCTGGATCCGGCGATCGCCTCCAACTCCGACCAGGTTCCAACTCGTCCTCGCTTTCAAATGGACAGAGAAACATGGATCAAGAGTACAACCTAGCCATCGATGCCATTACGCCCGCCAATTTGGCGTTCATGCACGCTACGCAGGGCCCCTTGGAGTTAATTCAGGCCCCCACGCACCAAGGTTTGCTGCATACACCCAACGACCTTGTCGTCGGAGCTTCTCTGAGCCTAAAATTATTCAGCTCAAGAGCACCAGAACCTAAAGTCCGTTTTTGCCGACGGACATCGCCGCAGTGTTGGCGTGCACGCGACCGGCCGCTTTACGGACACGGATTGGCCTTCCGCCTTCGACAGGCGGCCATGCCTTGGCTCTGATGCCTGTGTATCCGGCCAACCTATCCCGTCCGGTCCGCTCCCAGCCAGGTTCATGTGTACGTACCGCCGGTACTACCGACGAGCCATCGTGAGTTGCGCTGGGACGAGCCGAAGAATCCGAAACCGATGAAACTTATCGCGTTCGCTCGCAGGGGTGGTGCAATGACGAGCGAGACGCTGGAAATCGCGTATAGGCTTGCTATCATGCGTGCATATTGAGACAGCGATGTTATATCGTGGAGCGAGCGTTGTCAACGAAGTCGCCCGGTTGCAGACTCGGCGGAATCGAGAGGTACTAGGAAGAAGGTAGGCATGTACCCACCTGCTGGCCAGGAAGCCCTGATCGATCGAACAGAATGGCGAGCAATCTCTTCTCCATCGCGTCGTGTGTAGGAGTGGAGAGGGCGCTTGTCAAAGCCTCAACAGGCTCCTGGCTCGTGGGTCGTCGCATGCGGTTTCGGACATTCTCGGCACCGCGTTTCCTTCGCTATAATTCTCCGGGCCGCAAATTATAACGCTCTTGAATGCGCGAAGTGGACCGGCGAAGCTTTGATAGAAAGAAGCAAGACGGACTGAAGGAAGAAGCCGCACAGAAGATCCGACCTCGAAGTGGCACTGCACAACGCGAACGCGCACGCGATAGCGGTGGATATCGTCTTCCCGTGCCCAAATAACATGCCACGTTCCTTTCGTAGACTGCGACTAGATTCGACGATATCTATATCCTTTGCATATGTGTCACGCGGGTGGTTACAAAAAGATGGATTTACTGGAAAGTACTTAGTGCGTGTTGCTGAAAGCTTAACGAAAGCATGACCGGGCGGAGGTGACCCAGACGCGACGTACGATACACATGCCGGTTGTTTATTATCATGAGATGCAACGACAGCGAGGAAAGTCGAGGAGAGTCGAGGGTCTATGAGCCGTTACTCTGGCCGATCCAAAGCCCGTAGCTCTTCCCCGGGTTCGTCTGCCACAATCGGATGGTGCCTATCGATGTCATCAGACGCTAAGACGGCTAGGATGGAGTGGAGCATGACTCACCGTCCTCTGAGCGTATCATGCCATAACGATGGAGGATGCAGATAGAAGTCGGACAACATACGTCAGCGTCGATGGCGGTAGCGAACGGAATGAAAAGCCACGCACCACTCCCGCTCGCGAACATCTCGCCATCCGGGCTGAACTCGACGCAGTGCACAGGACCATGGTGACCCTTCAGCACCTCGCGCTCCTCACCGTCCATGCCGTGCACCCGCACCCACTCGTCCGTCGTCGAGCCGGTCACGAATCGGTCCTTGAGCGTCGGGTGGATCGACGCGCTCGACGGGGCGTACGGCAGCGTGAGCGTGTGCGTGCTCCCACCGGTCGGGAGCGCGGGGATGAACGCGACCGTCTTGCCAGAGGTAACCACCAACAGGTTCGTCTGCGGCGAAAGCTCCATCGAAGTGATCGGCCCCGGGAACGAAAGCGAAGTCGTGAGCTGGCGCGTTCGTAGATCCCACCATCTGCGGAAGAAACAAGGATCTTGTCAGAATCTTGTCAAGAGGGAGGTAATGATGGAAGAGAAAGTTGAGGAAACGTACTTGATCTGCCCGTCTTCGCCGGCACTCACGCCGGTGTGTTCGCCGACCCAGACGACGCTCTTGACAGTGCCATCGTGCGAGGTGGTCGCGCCGTCCGTAAGGAGCACATCCGGCTGACCGTCTGGCCGCGAGAGGTCGAATATGCGGACGAGCTTCTCCTGCCCTCCCGTGAGGACGTGCGTCGCCGAGGGCGAGATCGCGACCGTGCGCACAATGTGGTTGTGCGGGAAGGAATGCAGAACCTCGCCCGAGTACGTATCCCACACTTTGCTGCTCGGCGGCGATTCCGATTGAGCATGACAACGAGGTGAGGTGAGATGGAATCGGCGGCGATCATCAAGCGCGCGGCCATATATAGCACGAGGGAAGGAAAGAGAGTAGCCGTCAGCGCACGCTCAGGTCACCGAACGCGAATCTGGCCACTCACGCAGTGAAGTCAGCGCTAGCGGAGACGGCTCTGGACGAGTCGGGCGAGAGCTTGGTGCACCAGACGGCGCCCTTGTGACCGAGGAAGGTGCCGATCCAGTCGCCGGTCCATTCGCGGAGCATAGGGTTGCCATCCTTGCAGCTCGAGATGAGCAAGTACGTGCCGTCATCGAGGATCGGGGAGAAGGAGAGGTGGGTAACGGGGCGCGTGTGCCCCGGCGCGACGAGCGGGGTCGATTTGACGGCTGGCGCGGACATCCTGGGCGGCGCAGGGTGGGTGTAAAGTCGTTATCGTTACAGGAGGCAAGTCGTTGAATGCAGATGAGGTCAAGAAGCTATTTGTTGGGAGAAAGGACTAGAGGAGGACCATGAAGCGCGCTCGGCGCGATGACAAGAGGGCAGAAGGCGGCGTGAAGGCAAGATGTTTCGGTGGCAGTAGCGCGTTTCGGTCTTCACTGTTTTCTTTTGTACTTCGTTGTTGTGGCACTCGTCGACAGCAGCAGTTGCTGCAATATATCTACGTGAAGGACGGTTATGAATGAAATCTAAGCTGGTGGACTACGAAAGTGACTCGGAAAGCGAGGACGCAGGGTCAGGCCGACGTGAGGACGGGAAGCCGCCAGCCGCGAAGAAAAGGTGCGATAACATGTCATTGCTCCGCCCATCACGGTCATCCTCACAGCGGGAGGCACAGAAAGTTGACGCCTTTTGTGGACCCGAGCGAGCCAAAGGACGACCCGTCTCTCCACCAAGGTCGCAAGCGGACCGTGCCATTTGTCGAGGGCCAATTCTGCGCGTATGTCTACGTCCCGATCTTCATCCCTGTTAAGTCAGGCCTCGCAAAAGTCTTGAAGGCAGCGATCAAGGACGCGAAGACTGCGGTGCCGATACTGCATCCCATTGACCGTCTGAGCAGTGAGAGCGATGCAGCCTCGTCTGGAGGCGACGAACTCGAGCTGCATGTTTCGCTCACGCGCCCTATCTACTTGCGTGCGCATCAGAGAGAGGAGCTCAAGTGCGCGGTGAAGAGTCTCGCACACTCGCACAGGAAGTGAGCACGCCGTGCCAGGTATTCCAAACCGCCGCCTGATCCTGACGATACAGATTTCACGCTTCCTTTGCAAAATTCGACGAACTCCAGAACGACGAAGCGACCCGGACGTTCGTAGTTGCAGAAGTTGGTGCGGGATGGGATAACGTACGTGCTCTATATGCTCGTCACCGCCGCATTCGGAATATTTACTGGTCTCATTCCACCCAGTTGAAGGCCCTCACCTCAGTGCTCAGTCCAGCAATCAGTGCTCTGCGTCAAAGTACCTTCTACGATCAACCACGATACCATATTTCGATCGCGTGGGCGCTCCTCGATGGCGCGAAAACTTCCTCCATAATCACCACCCATGAGCCTGTCCCCGCTAAACCTGATCCATGTCAATCGCCCACCTCTTCGCCCAGAGCACGTCCCCCGAAGTCGAATGGCACCAACCACGGAGCCATACCAAAGGGCGACGCGCATACGGATGAACACTATCCTCCTCCAGAATCCGAGGCTGGGGAAACTCAGCAAGAGGCGACGTTTCCGACAATCCCGCATTTACCGCCCTCCTTGATTCCGGCCTTGAACGAAGCCTATGCGTCGCGACTTGCGAAAGTTGCCCAGGTGGACGTGGAAAAGATTTGCGTTCGGATTGGCAAGCAGTTGTCCAGCTGGAGTTTGCAGCCGTGAACCTGACGCCTTCCCGATCGGCATCCCGGTCGGCAAGTACGGGCAGGCAACATTGTTTTGATACCTGGGTCTGATATCATTGCACTCTCGATAGCGTAATCTGCTACTGGCTCGCTGTTGCTTGTTCACACGTCGGGTACTTTACCTATACCTAGCCTTGATAACAACACTAAGGCATGGACAGCCGACTCACAACTATAAGCAGGCATCGTGAAGACGCAAATTTGATCGCGCAAGATACGCGACCAGCTGACGGAGGGGAGTTGACTGTGGGGCCAGGAAGTAACCTTAATATCCCAATCTTGCTGCCGGGTTTAGGTTGGTCATTGCGACGTACCGAATATCGAGCCCCGTTAACAGAAGTGTGCACAATCCATCACGAGGGTTAAGGTGGTTATCCTGGCGCCTCCGGCATAACAACTGCATAGATGTCGCGTATTGTCAATCGTGTGTGTGTACCCTGCCTATCGCACTCGAAGGTGCTGATGTTGATAGGCTTCGGATTCAGCAGCGATGAACGTTCAATACATCATGAACGCTGCTGGAAATCTGAGAGCATGACCATAACACGCATGCCGTCTGTATTAACATTTCCCTCATGTGGAGCCCGTAGGGGAATCCGTCCAGATTGGGGCGATCGCAAGCCAAAGGATGGGCTGTGTTTGTCCAGAGTGCAACAAGCGGATTGTACTGTTCGTTCATAGGCAAGGCTTTTGTGATATGCGGCTCAGTCGAGAAGCAGTTCCCTTCCGGTTCCATATTAATGTTGATCTCTCCCCTATAATCGCGAGGCCATATTTGGATGGTGCAAGGAAGCAAGAACACGGTAACTTACTTTGCGGCATGGTTTGGGCTGTGTTCCCGACGGATTCATATATACGTTGTATCAATTGGCGATCTCGTCACTCCCCTGAATCCTTTCCATTTCCCTCGCTTCCCTGTCCCGAAACGACCGACTATGTCTTGTCGCGCATGGCCATGCAAGACATACAACTCGCCAACTTACCGTACGCCTTACCTTTTTTGGGGCCGAAGCAAGAGCTTACACTCGATCGCCAGTCTTCATTTCAGAACTCAGTATCGTGCAAGTAGTGTGGATAACAGGTGCCATTGCATTCCTTTGTGACCATAATTGGCGGTGGCTCCATTGCAAGACAGCATGCGCATTGTCACGGTGGCCGGCACTCGCTCTTGCCTCCTGACGAGGTCCACAGGGAACGGCGTATAAGAAGTTGCATCGGTTGATGCGAATCTCTACGGCTTAACCCTCCTCAGCGATCGCACCTGTTATATTGTTATATCCCATCTTTTAGGCTTCAAACATCAATATCAACGTTATGGCCATTGCTAACTGGCACAGGACTGATTTCGTGCTTTTCATGTCTCTGATTTACCGTTTGTTCCGCTCCCATCTGCTACGGAGCAACGCCTAATGACTCCGCGCCTCCAGTGTGGACACTCTCTATCAGTGCCGTTATGGCGATGTGGCTGTCGAAACTGGTTTTCAATGCCGATCCAAGACTGAAAGAACGAGACATACGTTAGTCTTCCCGCCGCTATCTCATTATTGATCGTTCCTAACCTTAATCGACCACACTCGCATGCAGGCGGTGAGAAGGCTGCCTTCTTCTGCTTGGTCCTTCCAAACATCGCCGTATTGCTCGGCCAGTACGTCTTCAAATGCGTTGATCCATGCGCGAAAATTGAGCACTTTCTAGCATCATCTGGGCCTTCGTACACGGTCTTGTCGGCGCTTGGCGCCGAAGCGGGAACCGCTTGCGACACTTTTTCCGGTGTGCGTACCTAGGAACGACTGCCTCCTTGAACTATTGGGCGCTTGGATGCCTTGCTGCTGCTACCGGGAGTACGCCCTTCCATCGCTTGGAAACACCAGTAGCTGACCAGCGGCTATCATCCTTCCATCAGCCTCCTCCGTAACGCTGCTGGCCGTAAACGGGTCCGGCAAAAGTGACGACTCCAACCCCACCAGCGTCCGTAATAGTCCGCTCTGTCAAGATTACGCAGCGATTGGACTGGATCGTCACTGCGCCATGACTCGGTTCGTTTACGGGGCCGGTTTGATTACAATGATCGTCGGTACGTCCACACTCCGAGAGGAGCACTTGATTTTTACTAATGGGACATAAAACCCCACACGTCCGTTTTTGATAACAAGCCGTCACTGGGCTCTCCGCTTGTAAGAAAAGATATCAACACCGACACCTGGGGGTCTGGACCGGCGACAACAGAGCTGATCTCTCGACAAGCGCGCCAGGATTCCACCCGCTGGGTCGTCTGGGGACATCGACTCAGGGGTCTATTCCTTCTCCCATTCAGCAGTCTGCCACCTCTCATGATGGCTCGTCGCGATGGGACAGCGATTCGAGTCTCACGGCGGATTCACCTGACAGGCGCCATTACATTCGCCTGCAAGACCCCCCGCCGTCGATCCAGTCTTCCGCGTGTCTTGATTCCGATAACGGCGACGGAAGCGGGCGCAAGCCTCGCCAGCAGACGTCCCCTGCAGGCCGTCCTTCCGCCTATAGACAAGACACTGCATCAACGACGTCGACCCTGGTCGATAGTCCGGCTGGCGCTCGCTGGACGGGATGGAACGGGGCCGAGAGAATGGGTCAGGCTGTCCAGCCACAGTACCCACCAAGCGTGCACGTCACGTCGGGAAGAAACAACCCTTTCCGCTAGGATGCGGCAGATGACGGGTTAGCGGCCGATAACGCCGTCCAATGTATTCATCCAACAGCATTGCAGGATAATGTTGTGTAGTCAGACCGTTGTCGCTCGTTTTAACACCTTTTTGTTATCCGTTCATGCGTAGAAATGCGGCGTACCAATATGAGGACATGCGTTGTGTGTGTGAATTACTGTCTCCATGTGCAATGATTGGCTGCAGCCATGATCCCGCAGACGACAGAAGATGAGATGGCCACACCCGCTCGAGTTGGCTGATCTTCGTGAGAACCGCCTCCTGGTGATGGCGGGGGCTACGAGGAAGGAGAACGCGTCAGCAGGTCGTCGAAGTCGGTACTGCGACAGAAACCGGCGGGCGTACCTAATGGTTCATTCATGACCTTTCTTCCCTGAAGCCCGTTGTAGCGCGTCCATCGGGCACGGTCTACTCTTGTTATACACGACGTGCGCGTCCATCGTCGCAGATACGGGAGCCCTGGCTTTTGAAGTACCGTGTTCAATGGCGCCTCGTCGAAAGCTGTCGCAAAGTTCATTCTGCTGGAGCTCCGGTTTCGGTCATCGTAGGTGAGCGTCACCGCGCTATACCCGGGGTAGTCGAACCAGCTAGGTATTTGAGGAAGGGTCCCGAGCATGGTGAGTGGTGTCTGAGCCTGTAACTTCAACACGCAACCAAAGGGCAGAAAGAGGAGAAGCAAATAAACAAAAGTTGACCCAGGTAAGCGGCCGGTAAGTTCAACGTTCAACACTCAGGTTTCGAGGAATCCACGATTCCCTTACTGAAGCGCGCCGAAAGCCTCGCGGGCGGCCATGGGATGCAGGGCACTGGCCGCTCACTTTGGGACCCCGATGGTGCGACTTCGTGAAGACAGGCCTAGCGAGACATCAGGAGGACACGTATGTTCACGAGAGAACCGACTACAGAGCTGCTAGACGGAGATTGTATGAAAGAAAAGCGCTGAGAGCGCAACGATCTCGTCGAGGTGAGCAAGTGTGGGCCGGGAGATGCCGGCGTTGCAGCGGATCGGAGCAGCAACGTCGCCCTCGGATCTCTGCATGCGTACTTACGGTGCGCTCTAGTCTCGAGCAGACGTTTGGGTGGTAGCTGGGAAACCCGCACGTCGCGTCGCATCAACGTCAAAAAAAAGTGTCATGCGAGCTACCACCCAAACACGATCCCGACGTCATCGTCATCTCCCTCTTCGTCTATGGCCACTCCATGTCTCCCCACCGTCCCACTGCGCTTAACGTCTCAACGCGGGCCCTGTATCCGCATCACTGCCGATGCCCGGTGAGGCGTAGGTCACTTGTCCGCGCCCACGTATGCCCAAGTCGTTTGCCGCTCAAGGCCAACCAAGTACTCCGTCCGCGTCGGGCCTGCCCGACTCCTCGCAACCCCAGTGTCTGATTCGCTGGAGGTCATGCATCAAACCCTGTCAAGACTCCGACGACGACACATCTCTCTCGCTTTGTACGAACCCATCTGCTGATGTTCCTGCTGCCTGGAAGTTCTATCATGACGGATGAACCACGAGAGATACTCGTCTGGGCTATCCAACGTATGTGAGCGCCCCCGATGTCTGCATCGTCTTCCGACCTCATCCACAGTCGCGGTGAATGAGTCGAGTAGCAGCTCAAGAAGTGTTGCCGGCATCCGGTAGCGCTCCTAATTCGAAGTCGTTGGCGAACACTGCATAGCACCTCATGAGCGCGTCGTCGCTTTTGGTTCGGACATGCGTGCCCGAGGTGCGTTGCAATACATCTTCGACGCTTCGAGCGCGATCTCACATATGCGCCAGTGCCACGATTCCCCGCATCTCATGAACGACGACGGGATTTCAAACCCGAGATGCAGAGGAGGCACCGTATGGCCGGTTACACTCATGATACCTCCGCGTACTCAACACTGGTACGGTCTCGCCCAATGTCCGGTATCTGTGTGGATGCTCATGCGTAGCATGTTGCGACCCCACCAGAGCTCAAGCCGTGCTACACTAGTCACGCTGAAACGTATCCGTGTCAGAAAATGCCCTCATCATGTCCAAGGGCATGAAAACACGAATTGAACAAGGCCGTCACCATGTGCATGTGCCAGTCAACATCGATTCAACGGCGATGCGGCACCGTCGGTCCTCCGAGGCTCTGACGGGCAACGCTGTGCGTCTGACTTTGCTCCCCTGCGCGGACTATCGATCGCAATGGCACCTACTTGGCCGCAGCTCATCCCCAATCTGTGCACGCAGTGCGCCGTCGCGACCACCTTCCGGGTGTTGAACGTGCGAGATGGAGTAGAACGGGGCGAGGTAGCTGGGAGGAGGGCGGATGGACGATGAACATCAGAGATGCGCACGTCGAAGACGCTTTGAAATACAGAGATCCTCGCGATGGGAGCACTCTGATCGCAAGATGGGGGTGGGATCGAAGACGATATGCATGAGGTGAGCTTACATTGACGTCGTGCGCTAGTGTTCACCATTGATATTGCTCTCCTCAGGACCGCGCTGCAACTCGTTGGACGTACCTTTGCTCGATGGATATGAGAAACACGGCTGTGCGGGGGCGTTCTTTCCTCGGCACCCCGGTTAACCGCCAGTCATATTTGTACTTCCCCATCATGTCCAATTCAAAGAATAATACACTGTCGACTCTGGGGCGACCGCTACTTGCACGATGTGTGATACATAAGGTTATCGCTTCAACGAACGCGCATCGGTAAACCAAGGGAAAACAAACGGCCTACGCGACGTGTTGCGTCTATGTACAACTTGGAAGAGGCCCACAGCAGCCGATACGGGCCAAAGGCCTTCGCGGCGCCATCCAAACTTCGGGGAATGTCCAAGGTGGTACGGTGACTGGAGGGATGTCGGATCGTGGATGATCACGACTTCATGCGCATACATCTAGTCCATTATTCGACGCTGTCCGTCGCCATCGGCCCGTCAGGTAGGTCCGTACGGAGCCAGCGCGGAATACGCACCTAGCAAACAATCCCATTCTGACATCCCAAACCAGCCCAACCGATCTCCGTGTCCCATATTTTCACCCTGTTGTCGACGCCGCCCGAGACGACGCGCTTTCCGTCGGGCGAGAACGCAACGGAGATGACCCCACCGTGAGCTTCCCAAGGCCCCGCCGCGGTGTGTCCCGTCTGCGCGTCCCATATCCGTATCGTGCCGTCGGCGGAGCCCGAGATGATGTGCTTGCCATCCGGCGAGAATGCCACGGATGGGACGCCTTTTCCGTGCCCATGCAATGGCCCCAGCACAGTCCGTCTCGTCTGAGCGTCCCAGATCCGGATCGTGTTGTCACTGGACCCCGAGACGATGCGCGCGCCATCGGGGGAATATGCGACCGAGAAAACGTAGCTATCGTGGCCTCGCAGCGGGTCCCCGACTGGCTGGCCTGTCTCGGCGTCCCAGAGTCGAATCGTGCTGTCTTCGGATCCAGAGGCGACGTGCCTCCCATCCGGTGAAAATGCGACACTCCAAACCCAGTCAGAGTGACCCCGTAAAGGCTTGCCGATGGCCTGTCCCGTCTGCGCGTCCCAGAGTCGGAGTGTCTTGTCCCATGCGCCCGAGACGATGCGGTCGCCATCGGGTGAGAATGCGACACACGTAACCAGCCACGTATGCCCTTCGAGCGGCTGCCCGATCGGCTGCCCTGTCTGCACGTCCCACAGTCGCACGGTTTTGTCCCATGAGGCCGAGGCAAGGCGCTTTCCATCGGGGGAAAATGACACGGAGTTGACCCCATTAGTGTGCCCCCGTAAAGGCTCGCGGATTTCCTTTCCGGTGTCCGCGTTCCAAATCCGGATCGTGTTATCCCGAGAGCCCGACGCGATTTGCGAGCCATCCGAAGAGAACGCAACGGACATCACATGATCCTCGTGCCCTTCCATAGCGATGACCTGTCCTGCAAGCCCGTGAGGATGCTATGCTATCCACGGAGTGGCGAAACTCTCTTACTGTCACGGAACACCTTCAGGAGATGATTTGCAGCGGACATTTTCTCGGGGGTATTTCGTTCAATCATGTCTACTATACGCCGTAGCTTGGATACTGCGCGCGTCTGTGCATGAGGCACCAAGTGAAACGCTGTCATTGCCATCGCAACGCTTGTGAGCAGGTTTGTTTGCATTTCTCTATCTTCGCGTCCGTATTCTCGTTCAAGCGCGGCGAGCAATACTGTACAGGAGTTTGGGTAGTCGATAATGAGCTGTCGTCCATGATCTGACCGATTCCTTTATTATTGTTTTTAAACTAGAAGAAAACAATCACTTACCTGACGAAGGCAGATCCGCCAGCCGCTGTATTTGCCTCTCGGTAAGAGTGCCACTTTCTTTAAGAGCGCCGATGATTGCACGGGCGGAGACGTAGGTGTCTTCTTCTATCCTCCCTTTGAACTTCAGCTCGTCAAAATTCCAGCCTACCGGGTAGGTAGGTGGGAGCCGAGCCCGAGGTGTGTAGGTCTCCCCGACGTCGGAGACAGACTCGTGTATGAGCTGATCCTCCATCACCTGCCGAGGTGCCGCGAGATGAGGCGGCCTGCGTGGCATGAGTGGAAATTTACGATATCGGAAGCCAAAGGGCGAACTTGCCATCTCTTTGTGCTCTCCGCGTCTTCGTACGATAGTCGCTTGATCGGCAGGGAAGCCAGGAACCACCAGAACCAGTTCATAGACTTGGTCAGTTGTGACGGGTACCACTTGCCCCTATCGGCTTTCATCCGAAGCCCCCATAGCGTGGCTTCGGACGTCATCCAGCGAAGCGCTGGTCCGAAACGGTCGCTCTCAAGATTCGGTAAGTTCCCTCCCCCGCTGCGACGGTTTCTGTTAGCGTCCATCGGAAGATTCCGTTCGTACGATGTATTTTGCTTACATATCTGAGTGAGAGCCTGCGAACCATACCTCTTTGACGTTGCCCTTGCTTTCCTTCGGTCCAGCTCCTCCGTTAGCGTACTCGGGCAGAAACTTGACCCGCAGTTCGTCGAGTGCCAGCGCATGTCTGAATACACAGACGTGCGACATCCCGGTGGTGGTTTCGGGTAGCGTAGGACCTCTAGCAACGCCGACGGATGATACAGTATCCCTAGGAATACCGCACTTAACAAGCGTCGCCGCGCGCACGGAAGGCGTGACCCACCATGCACCGACAAAGTGAACCTTCACGTTTTCGCGCGACAAGGTCGACTTGAAGTGTTTGCACAGGTCTTCGGGCGAAGGAGCCTCTGGTTCCCGTTCTTTCGGGGATTCGTCCCGTATGGCGCGGCCTGCACTTGCACTGCGCTCCTCCTCATGAGGAGAGCTGGCGGATGCATTACCGGCGGAGGCGGCAGCCCCCAGAAATCCCCGCTTCATGCGCTTTAGCAAGAGATGGAATGCAAATATCACGGGGATCCATTCGAGGACATCGAGAACTGCAGCGATGATCGGAATCGTCAATGCGGAGTGGAGAAATGGAGGAAGAAGAGAGACAAGAAAGTAAGGGAGTAGAGAAGCGATGCAGGGTGTGAAAGAGAGGAGGAGCAGAAGCCAGAACACGAAGGGGCGGAAGTGGGAATGGATGTTCACTACGAGAACCAGTTCAATACTTGAACTGTTACAGAAAGAAGAGAACGTACATTGTTGACTGTTGCTCTGTTCGTGAGATCTGGTCTTCTGTTGGGCGTCTTGTCCCATTGTCTTGTCAGGCTCATCATACCGCCTCTTCTCGTGTGCAGTGGCAGATTCATACAGATCGTATGCGCTGGATGGAATCAGCCTTAATCAATCTTCTATGAGTAGTGGTGTACGCACAAACGTATCTGCCTATTGTTTCCTTTCCTGAGGAGGCCAACCTCCAGGGACACCTGAGTTGCCTGTCAAGAAGATACTGAGAGCATGGACGTACCTTTTCTAACATCCCTGCGATAACACGAACTTGATAAGCGCCGCGAGAGAACCCTGCGGACAGCTCAGACGAGGTAAAAGATGTACAGCTGAGATCGTACCGAGCAGGAATATCCGATCGTCTTTCTGATAGTTTTCTGCCAGCCATTCGTAAGCCTTGAGAACAATCTCTTTGAAGTTCCTGTACGGCGTCGATACGGTCAAGGGCATGGTTCACGGATATACACGACTCTCCTTACCATGCGATGGCCATATCAATGGTATGATCGACGACTTGTGCCACGTAGCGCAGAGAGTGTCGCTCCTTGACGTAGGTGCCGATCCCACTATCGTAGTATGCGAGTTGCTTGTTGTCTTCAACGAGGCGACTGTACAGCTCTACCACATTCGTGTTCTACAAGAGCAACAGGTTATTACCAAGAAGTCGACGGCTGTGACAACATTCTGGCCTTTATGCCGAATTGATTCGCCGTTCCGTCGATGCACACGATGAGATTCCGGCCGGTATTCGGGCAGTGACAGCTTGGTTTCCTGTTACTCTCTGCATCAGTGATCCCCGGCACCGTGTTCTCCGTTTCTTCGACAACTGGAGTTGCGCTGCCGGGTGACGCCGCATTTCCTAAGGGCGACGAAGGTCCAGGACTATCGCTCGAATCCGGTGATTGGCGTGTTGGATTGTCAGACATAGGCGGTTCAGAGAACATCGCGGGATGCGAGAGGTCTTAAGGGGTTGTAGCAGGGCCCTAGGAGGCAGGGGAGGTTGGTCCGCCGGTTCGTCGATTGCAAACCATGTAGCTCGACAGCATTTTGACATGTAGAGCAGGCGGCTAAGTGTAGGCTACGGCGTGCCCTTTCTGCTGGAAAATAAGCTCGAGAACGTTGCAGGATCCAAGATCCCAAACGTGTACACGAGCTAGTCCGCATTTGAACGCGTAGAAGCACCTATTACTCACTTGCACGGCTACGTTCGCGTCCTGAGACGTGTCCCAGACAGGCTTATGGGCTAAGATACCGCCCAATGAAACCTTCCCCACCGAGCATGCAGTTCCCATGAGGCAGAAGCACGAACGCGACACCGGAGATGAGCCGGCAGCTACTGCCTTTAGATATTGACCGGTGTCGATGTAAAGTCCGTGCATTCTGAAACAGATGGAAGGGTGTTGCCGGAGACCAATATAGATGCAGACAACAGGATTGCATAGTGCAGCCGATGAAGCTTTGCAGCCGAAGCCTCATTAACTTAAGCTTGAAAGTCAAGTCCTCAAACTCGACCGAAAGCGCTGGCCAACGCCACGATCATGTGACCCATGATGCCACGTTGTGGACTGTTTGCACCTCGCCTGCCTTCCGCCCGTATACGCAAACGTCAACGGGTAACTCTTTTGCGTGCCCAAAGTCGACTGACGAATGAGTGGGTGGTTCCCATGTGGCCTCAGCATAACATAACTCATGCATCTTTCATTTTCAAGCACCTGGCCCCACGCTCGTCGCACGTATCTGCCCGTACAATGACGGTCAGGAAGTGATCGACGCAGAGATCGAAACCTTGCTGCGACAACTTGAGAGTCTTCAAGAACACACGGCAAGTGAGCCATCGCTCGACAACACAAGGCCGCAATGCCGTACCAGCGACCTACTAGAACGAGTGCGATGTCTTCACGAGCGCCGCAACTACTTGTCCCCCGTTCATAGGCTCCCACCAGAAGTCCTATCCTCTATATTCTGCATGATTGTGTTCGAAGAGTTGTGGTTCCTGTCTTTCCCTCAAAGCCATTCATTTGTGGGAGTCTGTCGACGCTGGCGACAGGTCGCGTTGGGCGCCGCTATTCTCTGGACGGAGGTTCCCCGTCTCTCTCGGGAGCTGACGGAGATCTTCCTATCGAGGGCGAAGTCCATGACACTTTATATAGGAATCAGCCCTCCTCTGAGCATATGTGGCAGGCCTACGGCGGATGCTCGAAGCACGGCTTTACGGAATTTGGACCGCGCGGAGAGGCTCATCTTCCACGGGTACGAAAAAGATCGGAGCGACGAGGTGCATCTTTCGCGTTCAGCACCAAAGCTGGTCCGCTGCGTCGTGGATCTCGAAGGAGGGCGCGTCCCGCACAATTTCTTGGGTTTATATACCCCGCAGTTACGCAGCCTAGAACTGTCGAACACCCGGTTCGATTGGGACATGATTAGCTGCAAATCGCTCGTTGGAGGCCTGACGCTGTTGAAGCTGGAGAAGCTGCCTAAGGCTTGTTGTCCTAGTGCACGGGAACTCACGGCAGCTCTCATGTCTATGCCCGTCCTCCGTGAACTCAAGATTGACGTGTATCGGTATTCCGGCGATGACACGCCGCGCCCGGTCGTTACGGACGGGCCCATCGGGGTAGTGGCGCTAGAGCAACTTGTTTCTTTGTCGATCACGGGCCCGCGCTGGTTGCAGATTCAGACATGGCTGGCTCATATGAAAGTCGCCCGAACGGCCTGGCTGGTATTAAAACCGAACCCCTTCCAATTTGACGTGGTCGATCCTTCTGCGTTGATCGCTTTTCTGGAAGACAACGTGATATTCGGGGGCGAAGAGGGCGCGGCCGTGCATCGTCTGGTGTTACACGTGTCCTACACCGCTGTGAACAGGCTCGATGCGGATCGGAAAAGGGATCCGGGCGGGGACTGGCCATATTTGCTCCATCTCGAAGGCTGGTTCGACACCGATCGCACCCTCCGGGCTCTTTACAAGATGCGCTACGACGCGATGGAATTCCTGGAGCTCAGCTTGCCGCCTTACTTCAATCCTTTGCACATTCGGCACATCCTTCACCGTTCCCCCAACTTACGTGAGCTCCATCTCCGAGGTCTTGAAACGTGCAACGTGGTCATGCCCTTCCTCACCGTCGGCACGGGCGAGGATTCAGACGGGTCATCGTCGGACATGCCGCTCCCGGCCCTTGGACGTATACAGCTGACCGTGCCACAATACGAACGAGAGGAACCCCACCAGGGCTGCCTGGACCTCCTCGTGGCTCGATTTCACGCGTCCGGTCCAGCATTCGAGCTCGTCCTCCAAGGTGTTCAGCACTTGCCACGACGGGAGTTGCGTAGGGTCCGCCGAGCGGTCGGCGACGCGGAGATGCTGTATATGCGGAACAGCGGCACCCTGTACGTTAGGAAAGGGGATTGTGCATTGCTCCCCCAAGACCTCGCTTACTAGACTACTGCCTATCGGGGTAAATTTTCGATCATGATAATAGATGTCTACAACTTCAGATTTCTATATGGCGCACTCCGGTGTTCGAGCCTTTTCCTGGCCCATAACTGAACGCGATGCAAGCTAACCGACGAACATTTTGTGTGCATATATGCGCATTACTGGAGTATGTATCCGATTACAATAAATAAGTACTTTCGCGATGCGACCGCCCAACGATGGATCTAGCGACCGACCGAACCGAGATCCCGTCGGGTAAGTGAGGGACACGCAGGGTCGCTGCTCACTGCTGAGCGCCAGCCGCAGACACGAGGAATCCGCCGAGCGCCATCATCGCCTCATTGAACAGCTCGAGCTGGCCAACATCCGTACCGGTGGGCAACGCCTCAATCGCACTGCTGGTCGGGCTCGGCTCCGCGCTGGACGACGGCATACTCTCGACCAACGAAGTGGTGCTCGCAATGGCCTCCGAGGACGAGGTCGTCGTCGTCTCGGGGGTGAAGGTCGACGAGGACGAGGTCTTGTGCGTTTTGCTGGAGGTCGTGGTCGGCGGGGGAGGCTCGCTGGTTGAGGTGGTGCTTGGCGGGGGCGGCTCCGAGGTCGTGGTCGGCGTCGGCTTGGGCGAGTGCGTGGTGGAGGTGCTGCTCGGCGCCGGGTCCGAGCCAGAGCCGAAGTTCCAGGAGCCGTAGATGACGCCTGCGCTTTGGTCCGCGAAGAAAGAAAAGAGCCCAGGGGATAGGTCAAGGCCGCCGTACGGGCATCCTGGGCACTGTTGCGTATATGCGCGCACGTGGGCGATTATGGATCACGGATGGAGGACGAGCACAGCATCATGGGCGGCGACGAGCGCGACGGGTGGTGAGAGTTTGCGGAGGTGACAGTGAGAAAGAAACGGAGGCGCAGTGGTAATGAGCTTAGGTTGCGTGCAGACGGCGGGCGAAGCGACAGACCTCGTCAGTGATTTGGGCTTGGGTAGTCTTGCCGTTCGCGGTGATGGTGATCATGTCAAAGCAGTTTCCCCCGCTGCCGTATTGCTATGGGTGGGTCAGAAATGCTCAGGAGCGTCCGAAGAAAGAGGAGCGCATACCTGCGAGTTGAGGGCCACAATCTAGGAGGAGGATGAGCACGGCGCTAGACCGGATAAACGGCAGCAACGTACGAAGTCAGCGTCAGTGTTGGTCTTGCCGCATGCGCCTATGAAGAGCCATATGAGCATCTTCGTAACGGAAATAACAAGATGGAGCATCGTACCGAGTCCGGTCTCGTAGAATGTGAAGCGAGCGTTGATGAAGCGCTTGGTCAAACGCGCGCTTTGCTGAGAGAGGCTCCTGGAGCGGCGGTGGCCACGCGCTTCGTGCGCGTTCTCCGCGGATGCGAACGCGCCCAAAAGCGCCACGACGAGGAGGCCGGCGGTGAAGGTGCGCATTGTGGTCGGTCGAATCGGTGAGGACTAGAGTAGTAGGACTATGTGACGAGTGATACTGTTTGTATACGCAAGAAAGCGAGAAAGCGGTGATGAGAACAATGAGCGACGGTGAGAGAGAGGGGATGAGCGAAAGCGTCGACAACGGACGAGGACAAGGAACGACGGCGGTGTTTCACTTCGCTAAACAAACACGGCCAAGAGGAAAATAGGGTCCAAAAAACGCGGGGGCGGCGAGGCAGAAGCGAGTGACGGTCAACGTCAAAGGCTCCCCCGGACGTCACGCGGGTCTCAGAAATACGGATCAGGAAGGCAACCGGACAGATCGGGAAAGAAATCTGGGCAACCGCCGCTTCGATCACGGGTAGAAGCGCATCGCTCTCGACGCGTCTATTTTCGTCACGTACGGCTCTGTATCATATATGTCACATCGTAGAGGATCAAATGTCTGGTCAACGTTTCGACTATGAAGGAAAGCTTGTCATTCTGTGCGTGATGAACGAAGGGGGGAATTAGGCTGCCAGGCGAACATTCGGCATCACGAATCATGAGAACGCGTACAGAGCACCGCCGAACGCTCCCCACGAGGAGCGCGCAACGTCGAGCAATAGGGAAGCGCGCCAATTGTGACTGGAATGTTGTTCGCAGGACAGACAGCGAGAGTAAGCCGCCCGCAACGAGCTGAGTTCTGGCCCGGATAGAGTATGTATCAGAGATTCACATCTGCGTTGTCGGTGAAGCACCGCTAAGAGTGCACCGGCACCAACAACACGGTTGCATCGTTCTGAAGCCATCCCGGTGTTTTCGCATACCTCGCCGGTATGGCCCCTAACATCGCCGAAGAGTAGAAGCCCCAGGAAATCCTACACAAGCAGCGATTGGGAATTCAGCGATGAATGCAGCCCTTTCAGTGATTGCTGCAACTCACAAGTCAATAGACGAGCCTGCGAAGTGATATAGACAGCCTGGAGAGTGTTGCGGTTGAGATTTTGTTGATACAACGGCAAGGGCACGAATGAATCACGAGTATAAAGAACTGGAGTACTACATCTTTGGTTGTAACACACCGCTGCAACTTGAGAGCGTCATGTGAAAGACATTCATCGATCATGCGTCGGCGGTACGATACGCCAATAGCCGAGTAACGGCGATTCTGAGCCCCGGAGCAGCAAGGAGAGGAGTTGCCATCCGAAATTGAGCTATTTGAGTGACAACGAGGACCAGGAACTGCAAATAAGCGATATCAGATTGGCACACGTCGCTGTAGCACCTATCTTATCTCATTGGTGGGATAAGCAAACGTGCCATCTTCTCATACTTATGGACAACGCTGAGAGACGGGTCCATTGAAGCGGTCTGGATCTTCCGCAACCCCGGATCTTCTACTGCACCTCAGGCCGATACTGAAAACGCCACGTTACTCGCAGTATTGAATACAATTGTCCCAGCGCTTTCGACGTGGTGATTCTGAAGCGTATCCCGGATGAGGCGGTCGGACCTTTGGACATGAAGATGCATTCATCCTATCGTCCAGCTATAGGCTGTTGCCCCGACTCTTCGCGCTTTTCCTCTCGGCGCTTCTAGGACATTCCATGGGCCTGTGCGAAGTTTCCCGGAGGTGTAGGCAGTCGTCCATGCAAGCCGGTAAAGCTCTGAGAGAAAGAAAGCAAGCTCTGTGTTTTGATTGGCTGTGAACGCCTAAAAAGCGACATCCAATACCCACCGGGCGTTCGCAAGCCTCGGCGAGCGTGGAAGGCAAAGCACAGGGACGCCTCCCCCACGTGCGAGCGACCACGTCAGCTTCTTTCCCACGCTCCTACATTTCAGGTCCACTTCCAGCTCGGCCGGTGGTGCTGGCTGTAAACCCGCCTTCCAACGGCTCTCTTCTCGTTTTCATTGCCCGCTTTCTCGTCCCGCACGAGCGCTGGGATAACGCCAACATCTCTCTCTCTGGTCCAACACACAACTGTCGTTGTTCGCGTTTTGGTATAACGTTAGTCGTCAAGGATGATTGAAGCTCCGTGGACGCAGACCCCACAAGCGATCCTTGGGTACTTTGATGTGGATCCGTATAATGGCTTGAGCGAAGGGCAGGTGGAGAAGCACGCGGAGAAGTATGGCAGGAACGGTCAGTCTCTCCTTGCATTGTTGTTGCGTGATTCGGAGGAACTGAGTATACACAGAGCTCCCCGAGGACCCGCCGACTCCGCTTTGGGAGCTCATCCTAGAGCAATTCAAGGACCAGCTTGTGCTGATTCTTCTCGCTTCTGCTGTGGTCTCTTTTGTCCTCGCGCTCCTCGAGGAGCGTGCAGAGGACTCGTCAATCATGGGCGCCTTCGTCGAACCGCTCGTCATTCTCTTGATTTTGGCTGCGAACGCGACTGTTGGCGTCATTCAGGAAACGAATGCGGAGAAGGCTATTGACGTGAGTCAAGATTTTTATCAGTTATAGTCGCGAAGCTGATGATGTCTGCAGGCGCTGAAGGAATACTCCCCCGACGAAGCTAAGGTTCTTCGTCACGGCAAGGTAGTGAAGATTCACGCTGAAGAGCTCGTCCCCGGAGACATCATTAGCATCGCGGTTGGAGACAAGATTCCGGCGGATTGCCGTCTTCTCTCCATCTCGTCCAGCAGCTTCCGTGTCGATCAGGCCATTCTCACCGGCGAGAGCCAGAGTGTCAGCAAGTACGTAGACGTCGTCCCCGACGCCAAGGCCGTCAAGCAGGACATGACCAACATGATCTTCGCTGTACGTCTGTCCCACCTCTCCTTGCCGTCTCCTCGCTCACATGTAACCGCAGGGCACGACGGTCGTCAATGGCACCGCTCAAGCCGTCGTCGTCTACACCGGCGAACGCACCGCCATGGGCGACATTCACAAGTCGATCTCGTCCCAGATCTCGGAGAAGACGCCGCTGAAGCGCAAGCTTGACGACTTTGGGGACATGCTCGCCAAGGTCATCTCCGTCATCTGCGTCCTCGTCTGGGCCGTCAACTTCCGCCACTTCTGGGACCCTGCCCACGGCGGCGCGCTCAAGGGCGCGGTGTACTACTTCAAGATCGCCGTCGCACTCGCCGTCGCGGCGATCCCCGAGGGGCTGGCCGCCGTCATCACCGCTTGCCTCGCGCTCGGGACGAAGAAGATGGCGCAGAAGAACGCGATCGTGCGCAACTTGCCGAGCGTGGAGACCCTTGGGTGCACGAACGTGATCTGCTCGGACAAGACTGGCACATTGACCACCAACCAGATGAGCGTGTCTAGGGTATGTTTTCCATCACTATACCAGTTCTGGTTCACAAATTGACGTTGAACTGTAGTTTTTGACCATCGACGCCAGCGGAAGCCCACAGGAGTTCACCGTTGAGGGCACGACGTTTGCGCCTCATGGGTCGGTGAACTCTGCTGGTGGCAAAGAGGTGTCTGCTGAACTCCGGTCAGAGCCTATTCAGCGCTTGGCTGAGATTAGCTCCATTTGCAACGATGCCAAGATTGTGTACAACACTGTAAGGCGTCTCATCAAAGGTCCCATTATCCAGACTGATATGCGATCCATAGGAGAAGGGCATTTACTCGAATATTGGCGAACCCACCGAGGCGGCCCTCAAGGTGCTCGCGGAGAAGCTCCCCTGTCCGGACGCTGAACTCGCCAAGAACCTGTCTTCGCTCCCCCCCGCCGACCGTGCCAACGCCGTAAACCAGTGCTACGAGCGCGCGCTTCCTCGCCTGCTCACCTTCGAGTTCTCCCGCGACAGGAAGATGATGTCCGTCCTCGTCAAGCGAGGCGCGTCCGGCTCGCTCTTCGTCAAGGGCGCACCCGAGTCCGTGCTCGACCGTTGCACGTCCGCGCTCGTCAACGGCCGGACGGTACCGATGACACCTGCCCTCCGCGACCAGATCATGTCTCGCACGCTCGCGTACGCCAACCTTGGTCTTCGGACGCTTGCCCTCGCCTACACGGATGTTGCGGACCCCAACGCGGAGACGTTCCGGGTAGAGAACACGACGGACTACGCGCGGTTCGAGAGCGAGCTCGTGTTCGTGTCCGTCGTCGGTATGCTTGACCCGCCCCGGCCGGAGGTGCGCGAGGCGGTGGCGAACTGCAAGGCGGCGGGTATCCGCGTTATTTGCATCACGGGCGACAACAAGGTCACGGCGGAGACGATCTGCCGCCAGATCGGGATCTTCGGCGAGGACGAGGATCTGACGGGAAAGAGTTACACCGGGCGCGAGCTCGATGCGTTGAGCCCGGAGGAAAAGCTGGAGGCGGTCACGAGGGCGAGCTTGTTTAGCCGGACGGAACCGGGGCATAAGAGCCAGTTGGTGGATCTGCTGCAGAGCCAGGGGCTTGTCGTGGCGATGGTGAGTTGGCAAGCACCTAGAAGTTGTCGGACGATCGCGCTGACCGGTGGATTTCTAGACCGGCGACGGTGTTAATGATGCGCCGGCTTTGAAGAAGGCGGACATCGGTGTGGCGATGGGCAGCGGAACAGACGTCGCGAAGCTGGCTGCTGACATGGTGCTCGCGGACTCGAACTTTGCAACAATAGAGCAGGCCGTCGAAGAGGGCCGATTAATCTACAATAACACGAAGCAATTCATCCGCTATCTTAGTATGTTCTCGATCTTGTCACCTTCCCGGCACTCGAGTCTGACTTGTTAAACAGTTTCATCCAATATCGGCGAGGTTGTCAGCATTTTCCTCACGGTGCTCTTGGGCATGCCCGAGGCGCTCATTCCGGTGCAACTTCTCTGGGTCAACTTGGTCACGGACAGTCTGCCTGCGACCGCGTTGGGCTTCAACCCGCCCGACCACTCGATCATGCGTGTTCCGCCACGGAACAGCCGCGAGCCATTGGTTGGCCGGTGGCTGTTCTTCCGCTACATGGTCATCGGCACGTATGTCGGATGCGCGACCGTCTTCGGTTACGCTTGGTGGTTCATCTTCTACGAAGGTGGCCCGCAGATCTCGTTCTATCAGCTCGTGCGTCGGCTGCCTTTTCTCCTCATGTGGGCGCCTCACTTACCAAGGTCCATTGTTCAGACTCACTTCCACAAGTGCTCGGCACTGTTCCCCGAAATCGGCTGCGAGATGTTCACGAACATCATGGCGCACCGGGCGACGACGATGAGCTTGTCGATCCTCGTGACGATCGAGATGTTCAACGCGATGAACTCGTTATCGGAGAACGAGAGCTTGCTCAGGTTACCAGTTTGGCGGAACAAGTTCCTCGTGGGTGCCATCGCGTTAAGCATGGCGTTGCACGTGGCCATCCTCTATATTCCGTTCTTCACGGTACGTCCTCGGTCTCTTTGACGACTCCTCGGAGAAATACGCAGCGAAGCTGACGACCGTGCTGCGCATCAGGCCCTGTTCCAGATCACGCCGCTCAACTGGACGGAGTGGAAGGCTGTCCTGTTGATCAGCGCGCCGGTGCTGCTGATCGATGAGGTCCTCAAGTTTGTAACGGTGAGCATGGCACGTTTTTCTGGGTTAGAGACGCGCGTGCTGACTTGTGAATCAGGGGACGTTCATCGAACCGCCGACGAAGGTCAAGATCGACTAGATGTGTAGATTAATCTGTAGTTGGAGTATACGACGAGCCATGTACCTTCTTGCGTCAAAAATGCATATACCAGGGAAACGCAAAGAGTTCGCAGCAGGACACAGAGCTGAGTGAACGCGTTTGCCTTTACCCCGACGATTGCCGAAAGTGGCAGCAGGGGCATGGGGTGAAGTCATCAGCCTCACACGGCTATCCACTGCCTTCCTTGCTGACCACTCGCCTCGCGCGAGACTGCCTCCTCCTCGGAGTCCAGCACACATCCATCCGTCCTTTCTCTTTCGACCACACCTTCGTCAAACCGCAACGCTCACACGCTCTCGCCATGGGCAACAGCTCCTCCACGGGCCGCGGCCACCAGGAGGAGACCGTCGACTTTGGCTTCCTCACCCCGCAGGTGTACACCGGCCAGCGCGACTGGAACCAGGCCGTCGTCGCGCAGGCGATCGTCGAGCGCCGGCTCGCGCCGTTCTATCGCCCGCTGGAGGATTACGAAGAGAGCTGGGACGAGGAGCAGATCATGGCCGCCAGGAAGGAGCCCCCGCCCGAGCTCGCCGAGGGCGCGGGCGAAGGCTCGAGCGGCCACGCGCACCGCGCGGAGAGTGTCAACAGCAGGACGCACGGGAAGCGGTCGAGTCATTCGGGAAAGGAGCCCAGTCGGCATCCGGAGGCGGCCATCTATAGAGGCGCCGTCGAGTGTCCGATCTGTTTCCTGGCGAGTACACTCACACCGTCGCTCTTTTTTGGGCCAGGATTGTCGTGCTCATGATGCGATCCGATTGGTTCCGTTCCTTTGTGCAGTACTATCCGCCGAACATCAACTATTCGCGCTGCTGTGAGCAGCCTATATGCACCGAATGCTTCGTTCAGATCAAGAGGGCCGAGCCGACGCCGCAGCACCTCGAATCGGAGCCTGCCGCATGTCCATATTGCGTTCAAGAAAACTTTGGCGTCGTGTATACTCCACCGAAGTGGCGGGCGGGCATCGGGAGTGAAGGAGCGGTACGTCTATCTACTGTTCATGCCATTGCCTCTCTCAACTCAACAATCGCGCTTATACCAGATGCCGCCGTCGCCGGGTATGCAAGTCTCGCCGTCCAATCCACCACCGACACGGAGAAGAAAGAGTTTCGGCGCGAACGACCCGGAAGTAGTTACTATAGGTGCGCGTCGCTCATTGCCTTCCCTCACCGACCGCAACGTCGCTCAACAACCTTCTTTCATCGCCTTTTAACAGATTACATCCGTCCCGACTGGGAGCAGAAGCTGGCGGCGGTGAAGGCAGCGGTGGCTCGCCGTGCAGCGCGGCGGATCATCATGCGCCAGGTCGGGGATCGACTCATCCCTGTGGGCGTTACCAGCGGACGCGTGCATCTCTTGCCGGAAGGAGCGGAGGGCGCGCTGGGTCAGGGCGATGGCGAGGGTGGCGGGGGTTCGAGTGGCGGGAGGCGGTCGAGGAGACGGGGCCAAGGAAATCCTGGTCTTGGCGAGTTCTTGGGGCTGGGCGGACAAGATATCGAGGAGGTTGGTGTGCAATCATATTTCGAGGATGCTACGGATGCTGACAGGCTACGGGTTATAGCTTATGATAATGGAGGCGATGCGGCTCTCGTTAATAGAGGAGGAGGAGCGGCAGAGGAAAGAGCGGGAGAAGAAGGCCAAGGAGGAAGCCGAGCAAGCGAAGAACGGCGCGTCGGCGGCGGCGTCAGCATCTACGTCAGCGGGCGAAAGCAGCGCCGCTACCACTGCTCCTCGGGCAGGAACGAGCAACCTTCCGACACTGACCATTCCCGGCACGTCCGCGTCATCGTCAGGAAGGACCTCCCTGGATGCGACGGAGGAAAGGCGGCGATCGCTCACGCCGACCGAGACCACTCCGGCATCGGGCAAGCGGCACCGTTTCTCGGCGTCGTTGTCGAGACTACGCGGCAGGTCGCCGTCGCCGCCGAGAGGATCGTCGGTCAGTGCGGCGTTCAGGAACGTGGGCGCGACTGCCGCGGCGGTGGGTACGCCGTCGCCAGCGTCGGAGCGTGCGCCGGGCGGGAGCGGGACGCAGACGCCGAGGGCGAGTGCACCCGGGACCGCGACGCCGACAGAGGAGAGTGCGGGCGCCGCGCTCTCTGTTCCGGTCGTCGTTGCTCCCGACGCCGACGCCGAGGGATCTGGGAGCAGCGCGCCTGCGACCGCAGATGCGGGTCTGCCGGTGCCCGCGCCCCCGAGGCCAGTGCACGCAGAGTCCTTCGCATCGTCGGTCGCCTCTGTCGACTCGGCGCGGGCGGAGACGTACGATCGGCTCGGGTCAGACGACGAGGGCGAGTCGGTGGCGCGCGTGCCGCTGCTGGGAGCGGATACGGTCGAGAGCCCGACATCGGGGTTGGGACCGTCTGCGCGTTGACGCATCTTCTAGTCTGGCGCTGCCGGGAGTGTCGGTTTACGTGTTCTTTTCGTGAGTGCTGTGCGGCTGGCTGTCTTGGCCGCGTTTCTTTCGTTCCGCGTGTGCTCATTTTGGACTACGATTTCACAGGTAGAGTGCAGCAGCTGCCTGGATCGCCCATGACGTCTTCTCGTGAATCGAAAGAGGTCCCACCCCCTCATGCCTTCATGGCGTTCTGTTTGGGCTGCAGGTAGAGTGGAGCCGTCGGCCGCGCTGTTGATGTCCATGCTGTTGTCGAGTATGTGATCGGGGGAAGGTTATGTCCAGATACGGTTCTTGTACAGCGGTTTTTATCACAGTATGAACGATTTCGCGGCACTCAGAGTATCGCCATTACTCTCGTTGACATCCTGTTGCCGTGCCGTCGAGAGTGGTGACGGGTTCGCTCGTGCTCGTGGGTGTTCTGGCATGATGGCCAAGTATATCGCGGGGATATGGGATTATGATCCACCCCTGAAGCGGTTCCTTGATATACGTCCGTCGCCATAACAGCGACGACGAGCGGACAGGATGCCCGTCTACCGAGCGCGCGCCGATATCATTTCATTTAGTCGGTGCGAGCGGTCGGCGGCGGCCCGATCGCGTTATAACCTCGGGCCCTTCGGTCGGCGCGCGCACGCCCTTCTCCTTCCCTGTCCTCTTTCCCTCTCTGGCTCGCACAATTGCTGTATTCGACAGCCTTGCGGCCTCCACGCGGCCGGCTCGAGGTGCGGCCTTGCGGGAGCCTGTCTGGGCCCCCTGAGCAGCTTTCCGCGCGATCCCCTATCTATAGTAGCCATCTGCCCAGGACGACTCAGCTGGTAACCCGCCCTCCTTCTCCCCGCTCTCTCATTTCGCACCTCTAGAGCCCCTTCGCCCGCCCGCCCCCCTCCTTATCGGTACTAGCACCATTAGCGTAGGTGAGCGTCTGCATATCCGTGCGAAGGGGTCGTCGGGCGCTGAATCGTGCTACAGCAGACTCCTGAGGGGTCGAGGAACAATATACATTATGCAGTCTCATGGAACGGTGCCCACGATGTCGCGGAGCTCGTCGTTCGACGTGGTGTCACTCTCGAGCGCAGGAGAGTCGTTCGACTGTATCTCCCAGGACGGGCTCTTCTCGGACGAAGAGGAGGAGCGGATCGTGTACCCCAAGGCGTCCGGCGAAGAGCGTGCGCTCGTGTGGGCCGAGGACGAAGAGGACGATCTCGTCGTCCTGGACCCTCTCGGCGCATCCGTCCCCGTCGCGTCTTCGACGCCCGCCGACCTCGAGCTCACCCCCGCGATCTCGTCCCTGACTCTGCACGAAGACCCCACGCCGGCGCTCGATATCGCTCGGCCGGTCCCCGCGCCTTCTCTCGATGGCACTGCTGCCCCAATCACGCCCCAGCCTGCCCCTGTGAAGAAGCCTGGCAAGCGTGCCCGTAGGAGGGCCCGCGCCGCGCAGGCCGCTGCGGCGTCCGCATCCGTCGCGACGCCGGCATCGGCCAAGGCAGCTAAACGCAAGGCGAAGAGGAAGGCGAAGAAAGCGAAGAAGGCCAAGGCGAAAGCCAAGTCACCCGCCACCGCGCCTTCCACTGCGACCGCGACCGCCGGCGCGGCCTCCACAGTCGTAGCCGCACCCGCGAAAGCGAAGTCGAAAGCGAGCAAGCGTAAGAAGCAGGCCCCGAAGGCTGCGGCTCCTGCTGCTAGTATCGTTGTCGGGTTCGGCACTCGCCCACTCGTCGAGGAGGAGGACGGCAAGGCCACGAGCAGCAAATTCTACGAAGAAGCCGTCCGATATATCACGAGGTGTGCACGCTCTCTCTATCCAATACTACTTGCTGTACTGACTACCATCAACCGAAACCAGTTTCCTCAAGGACCCCCTCGGGGCAGATGCATCCTCCCGGCTCGCCTTCCTGCAAGCCCTCATCATCGAACTCGGGCTCTACACTCCTCCCCCGACCGTCTCCTCCTCCGTGCCCACCTCATCTCATACCCCACTCTTTACGCACATCCCCGACCTACCTCGGAGCCTGACCGCCGCGACCGCGCTCCTCAAGTCGTCCGTCTTTCTCAACGTGCGCGACTACCTCGCCCTTCGCGACCGCGGCCTGTCCGCGCTCCGCGCCGCGATGCACCCCAGCCGCGCTGCGCTCCGGCGCGAGCTCACGAAGAACAAGGGGAAGCGCGCCGCGCTCGGGTGGGTCAAGGAGAGCGGGCTCGGCGTGCTGCTCGTCTCGACGTGGCACTGATCTCCCTCCCTGTCGATCCGGTGAATGGAATGCCATCTTTGTGCCGTCTCTCGGGTTTGATTATCCCCTATCCTCGTCTGAACGCTCTCGCTCCTTTATCGTCCGACTCCCGCTCCCGGCTATAATGCAATCCCAATGTACGCTGTCTGTCTCTGGCCCGTCGATAAGTAGATCGTCACCTATATTTGAGTATTCCGTTGCTTCTCCCTCCGTTCTATGTGCACCTTGTACTATACTCATTTGGCTGACCAGAGTGTCGGTCGTCGCTCTGTCTACCACTATCGATATCGACATGCCTTGACGAGAGATAGATCCGCTCGCGGACTACAGAGTATTAGGATGGTTTGGGAACAGCATCCTCGATGGACTAAGCAACATAGGTAGATGTTGATCGTCGGCTGAGGCGGGGGGTGCCATGACCGGCGCGATCTCGCAACAGGCTGAGAGGCGGGTTCATTCAAGTGGAGATGCCTTGGCCGGCGCGGTAAGTGCGAGACGCGACGATGACGTCGGGATCGTCGGTCGCACGGCGGGAAACAGGCTGAATCTGGGCAAAATATACATATTTCTGACATATATCTGCATCCTTGAGATAATCCTGTCATAACTTCAGACTACATAGCTTAGCTGCAGATATGTCAGTAACAACCATAGTTATCATACAGTATCTTTGTTATATGTTTCCCTCAGATTCCAGGGATTTCCCGCCGTGTCGCCTTGGCCCTGCGCCGACTTCGCTTTGACACGACTCAGTACTGGCTTCCCATCTGCACTCGGAGTCAGCTCACAAACTCGGGGCGTCGCTTGCGCTTAACCTTGGAGCAGATCACCTCCGTCAGCTCAGCCCTCTTCTGACTCTCGACCTCGACAAGTCTCGGCTCTTCCGGCACAACCTATCGACATTTCTGGGCGAGCATCCCGTATGCAAGCACAGACGTAGGACTCGCCGGAGACCTCGCCTTCATCGGGACCACCACTTCCAAGCCCGATTATCCGGTAAGTACTACGCCGTCTTATGCTTCATGCGGCCCGAGAGGTTGTTGGTGCAGAATCTGCTGGGGGAAGCGCGGTGTCCCCGAAACCTCGGCGGATGATCGTGTTTGGCGCCTGCTCGGGTTGACCGCCTGTTTTTGGCGGTCACCAAATGCGTGTCATGAGTCATACTAACCTGTTGAGGCGCGCATAGGAGCTCGGAGAATCCTGGCATATCGACCGTCCCGCGGCAATCCTTGATTCACGGCGCAACACGGATCTCAAGTCAACTGTGGCAACCCCCGCGGCCGTGTCTATCCTCCCGTGACGAGAGGCTTCAGCTGAAGCCCTTCCTCTGCCTCGGGCCACACTTCCATCACGCAGACTCGAGAACGACATCCACCTCACGCGTTCCCAAGCCCCGCCTATGGCTGTGCCCATGCATGGCACAGGAGAGCCGCAGGCCCCTTGACACCTCAATCATACTGCCGGGGAAGTCGCTGCAGGTCGTCGTTGGTACGCCTGCCATCCTCGCCCTTAGACATTTTGATCTCTAAGCCAACAAAAGCAGCGCTTTGGAAGTTCGTGCTCTCGGGAGGCGGCACGACGACCAATATTGGTCCGTGTAAGCTCTCTGATTGTTCACTCGAGAGCGTATGCGCATGGCCGTCTGAACTATGCAGGATCTCGCGAGGTACAAGTTCCTGTCAGGCACGGATAGATTGCGGTTCGACTTCGTGAAGAAGGCGCATTCCCATTAGGGTACTTCAACCTATTTGTTGACCGATATACGAAGGTGCTGGTCCCAAGCGAGGGCGGTGTTGGCGACCGTGGCAGAGAAGGCGCAGGAGGGCGCGAGGTGAAAGTCGCTTGAGGATGCGAGGATATGGGAGAGCAACAAACGGGCGCAATACAGGGCCAGGGACGACGGAAGGAGGCTGAGCGGAGTGAGTATCTTCACCCTATCCTCCCTCAGTCAATGATGACAAGATCGGGCTTTCGTGGTAGTCACATTCGCCAAAATTGATCAGCATGATCAAGCGATCTTACATATCATCGAGTTCACGGCAACAGACGCACCCGCCGAATTGCCGCCGCCCATGAGCGTACAAGAGGTTGAGCTATGGCGGTATCGTCAGCTGGCGCCGGCACGGGCGAAGATGAAATGCAGCAGGACAACGACGAAGATTCGGACGAGGAGAGGAGGACGCGGGAAGAGGAGGAGGAGGAGGAGGAGGGAAGAGAGGGAGCAGATGCGGGACGTCGAAAGGGCGAGGGCGATCCAGGCGAGCTCGCTTGGCGCAGGTGGGCCGATGAAGATCGAAACAGACTATGTACCAAAACGTACGTGCATCTCCTCTATGCGTATATGCGCGCGTATCTCTTATTCTATGCGTGCATATAGTGGGCGCAAAAGCCAAGGCATCTGCTACCACGAGCTGTACAAAATGTCGCCAGCAGATCCCCGTTGACGAACTCACGGAGCACATGCGCATCGAGCTGCTCGATCCGCGTTGGAAGTTGCAGCGAGACGCGCTTGAGGCTTGCAAGGCGCAGACGCCCGAGCTGCAGCGCGGCGCGAACGTGGTCTCTCCGCTCAAAACGCTCGCGCGCACGCCTGTGGATGTCTTCGGAGCCGCCCCCACTTTGGGACGTTCAATGGTGCGAGTAGTTCGTGAGCCATTGCGAGGACACCCGAACTGGGTCCGGACCGTGGCTTTCTCGCCCGACGGGAAGCATATCGCCTCTGGATCGAGCGACGTGACGATCCGACCTTGGGACGCCGAGACAGGCAAGCCAGTCGGAGAGCCACTGCTAGGCCACGATCATTGGGTTCGGTCTGTTGCCTATTCCCCGGACGACACGCGCATGGTTTCCGGATTCCAGGGTAAGAACATCCGGGTCTGGGACGCGCAGACGAGACAGACGGTGTTGGGGCCGTTGCGAGAGCACAGACGCGAGGTCTTTAGCGTTTCTTTGTCACCGGATGGCCAGAACATCGTCTCCGGTTCCTTCGGGGGCATGATCCGAATATGGGATGCGCACTCGGAACAGACTGTGGCGGGATCGTTCGTGGGGAGCAGCAACAGCGTATGGTCTGTTGTGTTCTCGCCCGATGGCAAGCGCGTCGTTTCTGGCGGTGAAGACGGTTTGGTAAAGGTTTGGGACGCGGAGAACGATTAGGCCGATCGGGCGTGCTCGACATGGTCACTCCGTTTTTGGCGCGTACCCACTTTTGCCATTCATGAATATGCCTGACATGATTACGGGACCTAAAGCTTATGACGGTGCCACGATGCCTCAACCACGCGTCCTCGGTGCCCGCTCGGCCTGACAGTCTTGACCGCTTGGAGAGTCGCTGCAGGTTTGTCAGGGATCTGCCTACCACCTTCGGCCTATGACTCTTTTCGATCCTAAGCTAACAAACCTAGCGCTCTCATAGGTCTCCGTTTCGGGGGACACACCCACCTGCTCGGGTGAGCTGTCGGATTGTCCACCCGAGAGCGCACTAGGCCATTTACTATGTCTGCGAGATCTCACTGAGCATAACTTCTTGGCCGGCCCAGACTCAGCGCGGACACTCACCGTTAGGCAAGCGGTACGAGATCAACGACGGACGGCAAAACCTTCGTCGACGTGAGTCAATCCGCGAGGCTCACCTGTCCCACTGCATATTCGGTATCCACTGGTTTGACGAGGAGTCTGAGAGAGTGTTGCTGCTTCACAATTTCGTAGCATGTACCGCACCCGTCGCTTCAATTACGTAGTACTGGTACACAATAACGCCGTAAGATTGGGCGATGAAAATGGATACGTGAATGTATATGTTACCATACGTCTTATGAACGCGAAGTACAGATTTCAGTCCCACAGGACTGCGCCGCTGTTTGTGAATTCGATGAGGATGGACAATCGCGAGGCATATTTGCCGAAGCAATTAGCTGGATGGAGGGAAGGCGGCGGAACATAGTATTAGGAAGCGTTCACCTTCATGACCCTATCGCGACCGTGCGCTGCGGGCGCGGATTCAGCGCTGCAGTACCCGGAGAATGAACGGACTGGGACTGCTTCGGGGTACATAGTTCGACATCGTTCAGTCCTCAGAGGTTCTTGCTCCTAGAGGTGTGGACAAGCGCGATTCAATGAGAATCGTGTCGTGGCGTCCGTCCAATCTCAGCGAGCATCTCGTCGCTGCCACCGCCTGTGCTTCTCCATCATTGCGGCATGCAGGGTCCGTCTTCTGGTCCAGGGCTGTTGCAGCGGAGTGCGGTCAGAGCGACCAGTCAATCTCCTCGTGCTTCATGTATGTGAATGGGGTGAGCACGAGGTGGCACCAATCCATTGAAGATAGACGTCAGAGTGCACTAATTGCGGACGGTTCTGGTCAGGAAGAATGCACAAAGCGTGGTACGTACGACAGTATGTGGTACGTGAGCACCGACGATGTTGCAAGTTTCGCCGTTGCCGGCGTCTTGCCGCTGCATTACGTTGATGACGGACAAAAAGGATGGTTTCCGGCAGCAACAGGCGATAAGGTGTGAGCGGGAGGGCACAAATGACCAACGTTGCAAGTGTGCCATCAGGGATACGACGAGGCCGGAAGTTCGCGCCACCCAACACGTTCATAGGCGCATAGGCGCCCATCTCACGCATTCGGCGTTCTTCTTGACTATGGCCATGGCTCATTCGCGACGTTACCGTGAACGCTCTGTCAACAGCTCCCACCTACGCAATGCGCATACGTGACATATGTAAAGCGACTCGGAAGCATAGGGACGCGGCCATCGAAGAGCGATGCAACCTCGACCCGCGAGACGACCTACTTGAACGAACTCATTGAGATGTTCTGGAGATCATCAAGACCATTGCGGAAGTCCGACTAAGACTAACGCGGTGGCTTCGCACGTCTTTCGAAGTTTTCGCCGGGATCGATCATCCACCGTGAGGCACGTACAAGTCATATTGAACCTTGCTGCGATGCTTCTCCATCGCAAGCCTCGTGGATTGCGTGCCCTTGCATGCATGAGAAAAGGACCCGCGAGGGCATCGCATGCGCATTTTTAGCGGTCTTGTATTGCTTGCATCTGGCCGCCACTCGTCCACATCCCCCACCCACAGCGAACCTCTATCTCAGTGCCAGGCCTGTTGACCGATGCCTCCCTCCGACGACGGCATGGGTTCAACATCACCTCCGAATCCGCCCCCAGTGCATGGCCCTACCCATGGTCCCAAGATGACCGGCGACGACATGATCTTTGATTGGGATTCAGTGTCGCTCTCGGAGGATGACGAGTTCATCGCTGTTGATCCACCTCCCGTGACGTCTGGCTCTGACCCAACGACCAAAGCTCCAAACAAAGCAGGTCAACAACCAGAGGCAAAGACCAACAAGTCGTGCAATTGCAGTCCCAACGGCAGGAACTTGGTCGTCTGTATCGATGGGACTGCCAATCAGTTCAGCGAAAAGGTCGGCAAAGACCACTTCTCTCCGCGCAGACGCTTAACCTTTGATCCCCAGAATACGAACGTCGTCGAGCTATACAGCCGCCTCATCAAGGATAAAAAACAGCTCACGTACTATAACAGCGGTATTGGGACGTACGCAAGGAAGAACAGCTGGTCGTTCGACTACTGGAAGCAAGCATTGTATCATCATGTCGACATGGCGGTTGCATGGTGAGCCGTTGCACGAGACGATCCGTTGACCTCGTCTCTTCCGCCGGTACAGCTATTCACCAGCTTTCACTCAGGAACCTCGAGAATATCGTTTTCGATGCCTACCGGTGGCTGTCCGAAAACTACGAACCGGACGACAGGATATTCTTATTCGGTGCGTCATCTGCATCAGTCCGTAGGCGTCGCTCTTACCGTTATCGCAGGGTTCTCGCGGGGCGCATACCAAGTCCGAATCATTGCAGGGATGATACAAAGGGTGCGACTTCCGGTCGCTCGCATGTGACACGTCGACTTACCTACTTTACATACCAGGTTGGGCTGCTTCACAAAGGCAATGACGGGCAGATATCCTTGTGAGTAGCTCGTCTTCATGATTCAGCGATGTACTCACAATGCATGACAGCGCCCATGGGCTCTATATGGCAACTCTCGCCGAACAGGAGAGACTTTCCGAATCTCCAACTGCGGACACCGTATCAAAGGATGAACCCGTTTCTGCCGGCACGAATTCAGCGAGAAGCAACACGCCTACTTGGCTCCCGAAGCTCTCGTTCTGGCCATTCCGGGCGTCATCAGATGCGGGATCACAGCAACACGAGGAAGCTTCCAAGGACAAGGACGGGTCTGCCGGTGCAGACACCCCGGGCAACGTAAACCCGTCCAAAGCAGATTGGTTCCCATGGACGTGGAGCCTTCCGACGTGGGTCGCGTGGCCAACCTGGGCTGCGCGAAAGACGCCGGTGAACCAGTGCAATGGCTCATCTCCCAAGTCAGGGAACGCATCCAAAGGCAACGACGGCAAGGCCGATCCCCATAAGTTGAGTGAGCGCTTCAAGCGTACGCTTTCTCGTAAGGATGTCAAGGTCCACTTCGTCGGCGCATGGTGAGCTCAATCGCAATTCCTTCGTGACCACGGAGCGATAATTTGCCACCAGGGATACTGTTTCATCGATCGGAATTGCTCGCGGACCGGGTCTTCCAGAAACGACGACGGGGATGAAGCACGTCTGCTTCTTCCGGCACGCGCTTGCCCTCGACGAGGTTCGGGTCAAGTTCCTGCCCGAATACGCAAACGGTGGTGTCGGGCCGGCTGCAAGAGATGATGCGAAGGATCAGGGAGACGTTAAGGAAGTTTGGTTCGCAGGGTCTCATTCGGACATGTAAGTCGCTCGAGAAAATTCTTCCTCGTTCTGGCTTTGACTGAGCAGACGGTCAGCGGCGGCGGTAGCAACGTAAATTTAGATCTGGACCAGTTTGGACCGGCTCTGCGCTGGATGTCGTACGAAGCGTCGCGTGCAGGACTCCGTACAGAGAACTTCCAAGGCAATTGGAAGCAAGTCAAGCCCACCGACTCCATGAATTGGTTTTGGAGGATGCTGGAGTGGTTTCCCCTGAAACATTTGTCGTACGATCCTAACCGGGATAGGGAGCATACACGGTGGAGGTGAGTATCATCGTATGGTCACTCGCGCTTCATTGTTAGCACTGATAAGGACCGCTGTTCCTCAGCCGTCACCTCGCCTCGCCGCGTCAGATTATGGAAGGACAGCTAATACACGAGTCCGTCCTTGATTCCATCAAGCCGTCTTCAGTAGCGCAGCAGAGCGATCCTAACGTCTCTTCGGAGCGTTCCTCTACGCAGGACCCTGAAGAGGTCTCTAATCCGCACCTGGCAGCAGCGCCGGCTTCGGATCAGCGACCTTTCCCCGAGTGGAGAGCCCGCCTACCTTCCGGGAAAACATGGGATGATGTACTGCAACAATACGCACAACCTCAGGAACAGCGGAATCTCATCGAACATGACCCTTATATCTCGGCCAAAGGGGTGTTGAAGGATGTCTCACGCAAAGAGCTTTCGGTCGCAGATCGCAACGTGCTCGTAACCCTGTTATCATCGGGTCAGTCATCGCTTCATGCTATTTGCAATTTTACGTGACATCCTATACAGAGGATGGCAAGCGATCTGTAGCAGACAGCGTGGATGCGTCACAGCTTTGGGAAAAAATCATGCAGTCCACGGAAGATTCGGAAGCGCATACGATTGACTGCCTCTTGTCTCTTAGCGCTTTTCCTATGTCACACAACGACGCTCCAACTCAGACTTGGATGCGCAAAGCCGGGGGTATCTTGTCTCTTGGTGACCGGAAAACCCCAGATCTTTCGAGTCATCAAGAAGCGGTCGAGAAGCTTGAGCAACCGTTCCGCGTAGTTACAGGAGACCTCCTGATGGACCTATCGAACAGGCGAGTCTTGTCAGACACCGCCCGTGATTTGTTATGTATCATTGCAGTCACCGGTCAGTCCGCTATGCCTCCATGCCCCATTCTATCCTACAAAAGCTCACCTTCCATAGCTTTCGGCCAAATGGTTATCACGGACATTGCCAAGGAGTCTGAGCTGGTCAAAGCTCTCAATACCGTACAGAATGACCCGGATTGGCGCTTCCGCGAAGAGCGAATTACGGATTTATTGATCCTCTTGGGTGCATTCCCTTTGCGGTCGCAAGACACGAAACGGTATTTGAACCACAATCTGGCGAGATTGTTCCCTCTAGTCCAGCAGCGACCGGGCATTGACCGGGTCTTTGACCGGGTCATGTGCACCGCCCGCAGCAACGCCCAGGAGCTTGTCGGCTGCCTGGTCAACCGCACCGGGCTTTCTGTCGGACAGCGCCGGAAGCTCGATATGTTGCTGTTTACGAGTGAGCACGGCTTCTCTGCTTATCCTTCCCGGGGCCTGAATTCGCTCTCTGCGCAGAATCTGGCAGGAAATCGATCGAGGATTCCGGGAAGCTCACCGAGCTATCCGACGCCCTGAAAGATACAGCGACTGACCTTAAGATGGAGCCGAACCTCCGCAGAACGCACATCACCGATATAGTGGCAGCTCTCAGTGCATTTTCCTCGCTTTCCACGGGCATGGAGGTTCTGCTGGAACCTGAAGTTGCGGACGTGATTTCGAACCTTGATACCGATCGACGCAGGCTTTCTGTTGCTAAGGATCGCATTGCATCCTCGTTCCGCACCCGCGCAGGTGATATAACGACCAAGCTCGCGAGTGACGGGATGGCCGACGCAGACCGCGATGTGCTGGAGAGGATGGTGTCGACAGGTGAGTATACCCAACACGGTTCTGCATACCGGCGACTTAGAAGTCTGCAAAGACCTCGGAAAGAAGGCGTTTGCAGAGGGTGTCGTCACCATGCAACTCTTCAATGCTCTCGGGCGCGTGCAAGACAGTGGGATGGATCCTGAGTTGCGAAAGGCACGCGTCACCGACATAATATGGGTTTTGGGCAAGTTTACGGCATTGCCGCCCGATGCGAAGCAATACTCGAGGCACGATTTGAAGAAGCTGTTGCCCGATCCCTATCAGGAGCGGCCAGAAATCGATGAGGCCATGATGCAGATCAAGCGGATATTCACTGGCAGTGCGTTGTACTCATGTACGTTGTATCCCATACCTTCTAACTCTTGATATTATCAACAGGGCTGCTAAAGGCTGTTGAAGGCCATACCAACATCGTGTGCTCCGTCTCATTCTCTCCGGATGGCTCGCAAATCGCCTCGGGCTCAAATGACAACACCATCCGCATTTGGAACACGGACACCGGAAAGGAAATCCGCGAGCCTTTACGGGGGCACACTGACTGGGTCCGATCGGTGTCGTTTTCCCCCGATGGAAAGCGCCTTGCCTCGGCCTCATATGACAAGACCGTGCGACTGTGGGACGTGCAGACAGGGCAGCAGATTGGGCAGCCGCTCAAAGGGCATACGTCGCTGGTTTTGTGTGTCGCATTCTCACCCGACGGCAACCGCATCGTCTCGGGCTCAGAAGACAAGACGCTCCAACTCTGGGACGCGCAGACCGGACAGGCCATCGGCGAGCCTTTACGGGGTCACTATAGCAGGGTTCTGAGCGTCGCCTTTTCACCGGATGGGAAGAACATCGCCTCTGGATCCAGCGACAGGACGATTCGACTCTGGGACGCTGAGACAGGCGAGCCAGTCGGGGACCCGCTGCGAGGCCACGATAGCTCCGTTTTGTCAGTCGCATATTCCCCCGTTGGCGCGCGCATCGTCTCGGGGTCAGGAGAAAAGACGGTCCGGATCTGGGATGCTCAGACAAGGCAGACAGTGTTGGGGCCATTGCATGGGCACGGAGAAGGCGTCACATCCGTGGCATTCTCGCGGGATGGCCAGGACGTCGTCTCCGGCTCCTACGACGGCACGATGCGGATATGGGACGCGCAGACGGGACAGACCGTGGCGGGGCCTTGGCAAGCTCACGGTGGCGAGTATGGGGTGCAGGCCGTCGCGTTCTCGCACGATGGCAAGCGCGTCGTCTCGGGGGGTGGTGACAACATGGTGAAAATATGGGATGGAGAGGTCGATTAGGCCAGCGTGGGGTATCGGAATGGGATCGTTTTCGAGGTGCGTATCCGCTTTCATCGTGCATGGACCTCCCTGACGAGTCAATGGTAGTTGATGATATCGATTTGCGTCCACCGGCTGGAAACGCATGAACCAGTGATCACCCGCGAAACATCATCCATGCAGTTATGATATCTTGGGGATCGTCAGCGGCTCGAAAGGCACCTCAGGGACCGTTCGCGCGACTCAGTGGCCGCCGTGTTTTCATACCGAGATCTTCCAAGATGTAACACGTACCGTACGCCGTGTATATGTGCATCGCTTCCCCGTTGTTGTCAACGTAGTGCCCTTATGTGCCACACGCCATGAATACAGCGGTTGACCCGGAGGCGACAGTGTAACATTCACTCGACAACGAAGTACAACGGAGGGCGAGTGATTGGGGTGCCCAGGGAACAACATATTTTCACGTCGTCGCACATCCTTAAGTTTTTCATCATCCATTCATTCGAAAGGGCGTCCAACGGAGGGGAGTGAGGTACTGGGTGCAGTGTTGGAACATCAGCGCGTTATGGATGCGACGTTACCTCATCCCTCCATTCCGTCACCATCTGCCCATCGAAGTTCACCCAGCGCGCGGAGCCCGATCCTTCGACGCGTCCCGGACAGATGTTCGTCACCCAGCCGTCCTCCCAGACAACCTCTTCGACCCGGCACGATCAACGACCAGCGCGGTTCGTGCATAGCTTGGGGACGACCAGCGCTGCCGAGCAGGTGCCATCGGTCGACGGTCCGAGGCAGCTAGCGAAGGTCGGAAGCAGATCGAGACGCCTCAGCCATAACGTCAGAGGGGGAAGGCAGCCTGCTCGCCCAGCCTTGATCTGTCGTATTCCCCAGAGACCGGAATGCCGTCGGCGAAGAGGCCGTGAGCGCATCTCGATGAGCGAAGATCTTTAAACGGTCACGGCCAGTTGGGATCGACGGACGGCATGGGTATCCGTCGTGTAGGTCGTGCTCGATCGCGCGGGAGGTTGGATCGAGTATAGGCAAAGAGCTGGGACGGCCGTCAGCGTCGTTGCGGACCGGTGCGGGCATTAGTCCATCCACTGACAAGAGGGGCTTTGCCTCTCGCGCGTCCTTGCGAACACAAACGAGATTTGCATCGACGCATATGGACGATCATGTGGGTCTTCGTCCGTCTGATCGCCGGCGCAAGGCAACGTCCGAAGGTGCAGAGGGAACGTAGATGGGCGAAGATACCTCTCATAGCCAAGCATAGCAAGCGGGTCACGATAGGCCCACATTTGCGGACGCGTCCCGGTTCGCGAAGCCTGAGCCTGCGGAGCTGGAAGCAAAAGTTGAGCGTCGGCACAGACCTTGGGCGAGAGAACTCACTATGGCTTGGACTGCTTGAACAATTGCCGTTACCAAACGGGAGCTGCGTCATCGCCAAGATACGCCCGGCTGTCAGTGAGCTATCACGGGTATAGGTCAGTTTGCGCTCGAGCTGTCGTAAGTGCCACGGAACTCACCTCAGAGAGTTCCTCGCGATATCGTGTTCAAGGCGAGTGGTCGTCGAGTCGATGCCGCGGCCGTTGTATTAGCGCAACGGCGCTACTGGTTGCCTTGTGCGCCGTGTCTGTATAACACCAGGTATTAGCATCTCGAGGATGGAAGGAGGCGTAGGTGCGCGCACGGAAATTGCCCTTCAAACACAAGCCGCCCAACGGCATATCTCCCGAAAGCTCGAAGCGGCGAGGTTCTCGCGATGCGGCTTCGGAGCCTTGGAAGTTCACGCGGATGGTGGCAAGGGGAGCGTCGGGGGATCCGACCATGGGGATATCCTTCAACATGGAAGTGTCGAGCCCGGAAGCGGATTGCATTCCGTCAGGCAGAGCTGCACGCTGATATTAAACATCTGTACGATCACCGTGCATACGGCGACGACTCACCATCGTCAATTGTGCAGAGGTGTCGTGCTCCGCCCAATCTATGTTGCATCGGTCCTGCCATTCGCTGATCATCAGGTCCTCGTCAATGGAACGCCTCGGATTGGATCGCTGGCACAGATGTGAGATGGCGTCCGAGGAATCGAGAACAGTTCGTTACTCACTCCGGGGCGCATGTGCGATCAGAAGGTGGTGAGACGCACGCAGGCCGGCGGCGCAGCGTCCGCCAATGTAAAGACGTCGAGGCGAGAGCGCCAGTAGATGCCGGTCACCATATCCAGACCGTCATTCTACCCATATACCATACCTGTGGAAGACAGAGGGAGGTCAGAATGCGGCGATGACGACGCAGCGAGGCCGGGCGACGTGCATAGGATGAACCGGCGAATGAGATCCCCTCATAGATCGGCGTGATAGGACTTGCGCGTAGCTGAAATGTGAGCCGTTAGGTTTGCGATGCCGCCGCCGGATATTCGATAGATATTGATGCGAGTGGGTCGATTCAGGCTGACGCATGGGTTGCAAGGAGTCAAAGAGGCCCATCACGGGCGGAGCGGCGGAGGCCGTAGGCGGGGGCGTATACGTGAGGGCGGACAAGTCGCTCGCGCTTCACAAGGACTTGACGGTGATCTTGGTTCAGAGCCCGCGTTGTGTGCGCTGCAGTGGACGTGCCTGGCCCGTGCGAGAGCAAAGACACGAGACGCGACGATGACGTTGGGATCGTCGGTCGCGTTTTGCCCCTCAACGTCTCGCGCCGACTTCAACCTGGACATGGCAGCCTTGCCTTCTCAGATCTCGACTCTGCTTCCAAACTCGAAACGTCGCTTTCCAATTCTGGAGCGGACCACCTCTGTCAGCTCAGCTCCACTCTCTTGCGACTCTCGGCCATTGTGTCCCAGCTCGCCAAAGCGAGGCCTCGGGCACCGGCTGTTCCGGTATTGGGACCGCACCGGATAATACTACCTACCTACTACCTACCTCGACGTCGACAACTCTCGGCTTTGCCGGCACGACCTACCGACGTCTCTGGGCACGCATCCCGCATGAAACCACAAACGCAGGACTCACCCGCGATTGCATCTTCACCGGCGCCGTTTCCAAGTTTGAATTTCTGGTGAGTACCTTCTGTGACGGCTCGAGAGGTTGCTGGTGCAGGACCTGCTGGGGGGAGCGCGGAGTCCCCGAAACCTCGGCGGATGATCGTACCCGGCGCCTGCTCGGGTTGACCGCCTGAGTTTCTAGCGTTCCCCAAATACGTGTTGCGAGTCGGGCTGACTTGTCGACAGGCGCACGGGAGCCCGGTGAATCCTGGCATATTGACCGTCCGAGGCAACTCTTCGTTAGCGGCGTAACATGGATCTCAACTCAACGCTGGCAAGCCCCGCGACCTAGCCTATATGCTCGCGATGAGAGAGCCGGATACTCTCCCGAAGCCCTTCCTCTGCCTTGGGTCACGCTTCGATGAGGCAGGCTCCGACACGACGCCCGCGGCATCTGTTCCCTAGACCCGGCCAGCGATATCGTGCTAGCGCATGGCACAGGAATGCCGCCGGGCTGCATCATATATGCACCCGGCTTGCGAGGGAGTTGTCGCGACCCGTCATAGGTATGCTTGCCATCCTCGCCTTATGGCTCCTTTCGACCCTCGAGCCGACGATCACAACATCTTCATAGATCACGCTCTGGAAGACAGCGTAACGCGTCCTTTCGGCTCGTGGATGATCTCGGCCCGCCCACGCGAGAGCTCCCGGTCAAGGCTGTCTGAATATATGCATGCAAGATCTCGCTGTGTACGCCTCTTTGGCCCGCCAAGAGGGCTGCATGCGAGGACTAACAGCCTCCATGCAGGCGGGCGATATGAGCTCGATGATGAAGGACGTGCTTTGGCCAAAGTAATCCGACGCGAGAGGCTCGCCTGCCGCGCATGCGTCGCTCTTGGGGTCCATGACCGGCAAAGACGATTCGCAAGGCGTACAGATGTCCGTCGTGGGTCCACGGCACCCTTCACAGAGACTCCAATAATATTGATCCAGCATGCAGACCCCTCATCTGGCCCATCCGCCAGCGTCTGCGTCGCGATGTCGGGCGTCCACGCTGACATAGTCAAACGGAGGCTCCGCGCGCCTGGATCTTCGGCGATACAAGATCGCGTTTCAATGCCATACTGAGCGTATATGCGCATGGGGCAGTCGGCTCAGGCTGAGATGTCGATTTTCCTCGTCTATAGTCCTTTTCCAGCGACGATCCCTTCGATGCCTCTGGATATGCTACCCGAATACAACGAACATCGTCGGCAACTGCTCAAGCTCTCGCCTACACTTTACTCGTGGGGCGGTCCGGCTGGCAAAGTCCGCGCTGGTGGAGCTGACCGCGATGTGCGGAAGTTTGGCTCAGACTTTGGGCATGCAGCGAATGAGGACCCGCCAAACCCGCTCAAGCCAAGTTCGCTTGAGGCAGAGCAGATCCCGTGTGCTTGGTGTCACGGACCGCATGCCATGCCATGGTCGAGGTTACGCAGAGCATTGGGAATCTAGAAGGAAGCCGTGTTGGATGAGGCAGGGGGCGGTGAGGGTGCGACGTCACTCGCGTCGGGTATGGTTGAGGGTACGTGGAGACGTGATTTCCGATCAGTTGTCGAGAGCGCGGGGTGTCATCTTTGAGTTGGCACCGACACTAGATCTTCATGGTGCCGCCGCTACTCAATCGGCCTGCCGTGCCTGTAGACAAAGGCGCGTCAGCGGCCGGAGATGGAAGGGTCGATAGGCACACACGCATTCCGCCGGACGCGTTACTTCCGAGAGCTCAACGTGATGCGCTTGGACGCAGCTTTAAGATCCAATCGATGAGGTCGGGCGCTTAGATGGCAAGGGTAACGCGTAGGAATTAGCGATGGAAGCGTGAACGCGGTCCAGGAGTGGATGTCATTCCGGCGACGGAGCTACGTGAATGTTCAGACGTCAGTACAAGCGCCGTTCACGCGTCGATTGCTAACCGTCGCCGGGTTTATGGAGGTGCCACGCATTCCGCCGTCCGCATCTTGCATCCTTGCCCATCTGTGGCTGGAGATCGGGCCTTCGTCGTGTCACGCCGCGCATCCAAACGACTGACGTTTATATGAGATGGAGCGCTAGGCGTCGACGATGCGTTGGAACTCACCTCGTTGCACGCATGAGTTAGAGGTGACAAGGCGCGTGCATATAGGGTGTCATGCAGAGTAGGCTGATGCAGAGGCTTCAAGACAATGTCGGCTCGCTGAATGCTGATCGAGATACGGTGTCGGTGTTCGACTCATACTTTGTACCTGCGGAACGGAAGTAATCAAAGCGTGAAGATGACGGCGTATAGAGGGCATACACATACGAAGAAATATCCCAAAAATCCGGCTGCCAACGGGCAATTTCCCCCGTATGTAGCTCGGCCTCATGGTGTATGCATGCGGTTGAAGGGGACCTGAATGGACAAGGCGGAAACTTCGGTACCAGAGATTGTAGAGGCATTGACACCGATAGCTTGAGTAAGGCCGCGGGAGTGGACGAACATGAGCGACGAGTACCAGGGGCAAGACGCGCATACGTGAGCGTAATCTAGTCGTGTTCACCATATCTATGGGGCTGAGGAAGGTCAGCATACGGGAATGACGACGCGACGAGCGCGCACACATCCATCACCTCAGTCACCCCCAAAAGGCCGACATCTTAGGGGTATTTAACATCATTTAATTGGCCTTATCAGGGCTCAGACACATGACTCCTTCCATCCTATATGGGTGCTTCCATGTGGATGCTCCCATACTTTGGGTCAATCACACCTTCCATATTGGTGGCATAGGTATTGCATAGGTAGCCTTCGTTTCCCATGACCCAAGCAATGTAGCAACAATATACAGAGCTTACAATATCTTATATGGTTGTGTCAAGCTGTATTTCCTCACCTGAACTTGGGCCTCCATACTGTGCAGGAACCTACCTATCTCCACACTTCCAATGTGGAATATGGACACATCCCATATGTCAATGGTTCCAGATGACGGGGTGTTGGGGGTCTCTGTACTATATATAGATACAACATATGTAGGATAGGGCTCAATTTGGTGGG